GTTGCCCAGAGAGGTGGTGGATGCCCCCTCCCTGGAAACATTCAAGGTCAGGCTGGACGGGGCTCTGAGCAACCTGATCTAGTTGAAGATGTCCCTGCCCACGGCAGGAGGGGTGGACTAGAAGACCTTCAGAGGTCCCTTCCAACACAAACTATTCTATGATTCTATGATATTTCTTATCCCTGGTTTTATTGGTAATTAGTTGCAAAAGTCAAGCTCCAAGCCACAAGGTCTATTAGACATTCTCTGTAGTAATTAAATCCCTTCAAATGGTTGAATTTGTAGTGCAAATAGGGCTTTTTGGCCTGCTAAGTGCCTACTGTTCTTCTAACAGTTTGAAAATGAGCACCTTTATATGTGGTTCATGCTGAAAATCTGCCTAAAAAGTCTGACTGAGTTGATGAGTGTGTTTCTAATGCAGTTTAACTCTGCTCCTCTAGACCAGCCCAGCTCTGCTAAGAACTGCAACAAGCTTCCTGAGAAACCAGAAAGACATAGTTATCTGAGTGCCGTTAATGAGGTGTATTGCTCTTGTGGGAGCACCTTACTGGCACTGTAAAGGAGCATGTTTCCCTTTTTTGTAGCAAGTGGAAATGAGAAAATGAAAGGATTTGGGGGGCGAGAGGTGCTGGGAGGGTGTGGCTGAATGGTTGCTCTGGTGGCCCTGCAGACGGGGAAGGAGCAGTGCCCTGTGTCAGCAGGGTGCAGCGGAGCCAGGCAGGATGAAGACAGCTTCTGCACTTCTTGGACTGCACCAGCTGTGCCCAAAGGTGCTCGGTGAGAGGAAGGCTGTTCACCACCTGCACTTACGTGAGGACTGACCATTGCTCTTTCTCTTTAGGGGTTCAAAGATCCTGTGTACCGGGCCCGGAGGAAGGAGTTTGCGGATATCGCCTACAACTACAGACAGTGAGTGCTCAGTGCATGGGCAGAAAGCAAGCCCACATCTCCTGCCCTCTCCTAGGGCTCTCACCCTGCTGGCAATCCCTGTTTTTCCACAAGCGTCCTGCTGCTGTTGGCTTTTCTCTGCTATGTGTTTAAATCTTCCTGTTCGTGCATTTATCCCCAGATCGCAGTAAAACAAAAGTAAATTGTTCCAGGCACATGTTCAGAAGAGAATGTCGCCTCCCTTCTTTCCCCACAACACCCCTCTTCCCCGGCTTTGTTGTCTAATTGAGCAGCAGACTCCATTGCTACTACAAAGACCTGAGCATTGAATAAAGCCGCTTCTGGTATTCTCCCCATTAAACCAGGGCTGGGGGAGGAGTGCCTATCATTTACATTAAAGCAGGAGCTGCATACACTATTAAAATAATGAATAACTTATGGTTCTGATGCTAATCCAGCGCCTGATACTCTACTTTTATCATGTCTGACCCAGCTGCAATCAGCAATTTGGGCTCTCATTTCCCAAGAAAAATAAATGAATAGAGATGATAAATTCAGTTAGAACAGGCTTGCTTGATTGCTTTCAGTGATCAAATCTGGAGGAGATAAAATTCAATTCCCAGAGCCACTCACACATTTACATCAGTACTACTGGGCCTGATTCTTGCTGAGACTGGTAAAAATTGTGATTGCAAAGGATAAAGTAACATATGTTGTACATTTAGGGCTCCACTTTGCACAGGACTGCAATGAAAAGATAGTCCCTGAGCCAAAGAGCTAATAATCTAATCACAAAATGAGAGACAAAATTGGACTGATTGATGGAAAGTGAAAAAAGTCAGGACCCCAGTTTATAGCTAGAAAATTTGGATAAGACTTTGTGGCCAGATGTGGATGGATCTAATGCCCATTTATAGGTATCCCACAGAAGATTTACCTTTCCTGGATAATGGATAGCAAATTCTGGTCTCTAGTTTGCAGGCTTTCATCAAATCCTACATAAAAATAAAACAAAGAACATGTTAACCACTCCCTACCCCCAAGACTCAAACTGAAACCATCTTAGAAAGATGAAACCATTATATCCCAAAATGTAATTAACTAATATTTAGTCTTTTATCCAGATCCTCAGACACATCGGAAACAGAGCCTATACAGACCTGGAGCTATGTCCCAAAAGCACCTTCTATGTGAAGTTCTTGGACTTTCCAATAAGGTCTTTCATAAACAGAGCAATAAGCAGGTTGTGAAAGCCCACGTCTGGGCTTCTGGGGCTTGTGGAAAGAAGGCACGTGATTTTTGTGACTTTGGGCGTTGATTCAGGAAGGCCCAGATGGATCTGTGATGCCCTTGCTCTGGGTGCTACACCTGGCAAACGTGCCTTTCAGGGTCTACAGTGGGGAGGAGAGGTTGAAGGGGTGTCTCCAGCATAGCGGGACAGAAATGCAGAGAACTGGGCAGGAGGAGAGGGACAACCAAAGTTATCAGTCTTCATGGGAAGTATCTGAAAAGGCAAATGTGCTTAGTTTGTGAAGTCAGCTACAAAGGTGAGGTGGGTCTATGGTTGTTTGTCTTGTACTCTTCTTCCTGCTATCAATTTCATCCTCTTCTGTGTCCCTTCTCTTGCACCTGTTTTGTTCTCTTTCCTCCTGTTGTTTGCCTCTCTCCTTTGCCTTTGCTCTTTTGCCTTCTCTCTCGATACATTTACCGGTCATTTTTGTTGAATGCTTAATCTCCCTGACTTCTCTTTTCTTTGCTTTTAGCTTGCCTTTTCCCTCTGCCTTCCTTTGCTTCTGGCCCTGTTGATGCCTGAAACTTTTTAATTGAAATTTGAAAGGTTTTAAAGCCATAGCTTCCCCCTATAGCCCTGGAAGGTGACTGAGGATTACTTAGGAGTGCTGTAGGAACAACAATTCCCCAGCAATCCTCATAATTCAACATGATGTTTAAAGCTCCACAGATCAAGGAGGGCTGATACAGAGAGACAGAAAATGACGGTGCTCCAGAGGAGCTGCCCTGAGGCTCAAGGAAAAAATGAGGGAGTGGGAGATGGTGGGATGTCATCAAGAGTTTAACAATGGGTCTCTGGGGCTTGGAAAGCTCCAGCATTATTCCAGCAGTGATGTTAACCCTATTAAGTTACTTAAAACCCTTTGATTTTGCAAAGCTGCTGGATTCACCTATGGCCCTATCATTATTTTGAAGGAATTGACTATTCACAGGAGGCCAAACTACATTGCTTGTGATTGTCTAATTCGTGCTAGCTTCAACAGGCCTGAGGGTGGGATTTGACTCAAAATTACTCATTACAATTACAAAAAGTCAAACTGGCTAGAGTCTGCATCTGTTACAGCATAAAGCACAGATCAGAATTTCTCTGCCCCTCCAAGAAAGAGAGTTTTCTGGAGCTGATGATTTTCCTGTTGTAACCAAAACAATTAATGTAATGTGTGTTAGAGCAAGAAATACAACAGCTGCTCCATATCTAGAAATGCAAATAAATTGAAACTAACAACCAGCAAATATTTTTAGGAGAACATCTTGATAAGACAAATAAACACTAATTTATTTTTACCACAATAGTGCAAGGAGTTGTCTAAAGGCCAGTGTCTCAGCTGAGGTCAGTAGACTCCTTCCCAGTCTGTGCCTAGCGGCAGGTGAGGCTCCTTTTGCACCTACATGTCAGACCAAAGGCATCTCCCCTCCTGCACCAGCAGCTCCTGGCCAGTCCATGTAAAGCTCCTGAGTATGATGCTGGTGACATAGGACATTTTCTCTGTCGCTCCTATGGAGGGTATCCATTTTCTTTCCAGTGGCCAACCTATTCCTCGAGTCACCTACACGGAAGAAGAAAAGAAAACATGGGGCACTGTCTTCAGGGAGTTGAAGAGTCTCTATCCAACTCATGCTTGTTATGAACACAACCATGTGTTCCCACTGCTGGAGAAGTACTGTGGTTACCGGGAGGACAACATTCCCCAGCTTGAAGATATTTCAAAATTCTTGCAGAGTAAGTTTGAAGCATATAAAAGAACCAAATCAAATGAAAGGCCACAGCTGTCAGTGGGGGTGGTGCTTCCAGAGATGGAAAAGCAGTCCCTGCTTTATCACAGGCTCCCTGTGGTGCTTGGGCACATCACTTAGCCTGTGTCCCAGGTCCCTCTCTAAAACTTCCAGGGGTACGATGGTACAGATGCTCAGATACTGGGATGGTGGTACACATGGGTAGAAAATCCCCTGCTCTTTCACAACTAAACTCTGTTTAACATAAGGAGAGCAAAGAAAACAATTAACAAACTTTTTCCACTGTGAGGAGTCTGGATAAGGATAAATCAAGCACACTGGCTGTTTTTAAGATGCCATATTTTGTCCCTTCAGCCTGCACTGGATTTCGCCTGCGTCCTGTTGCAGGGTTGCTCTCCTCTCGGGATTTCTTGGCTGGGCTGGCGTTCCGAGTATTTCACTCTACACAGTATATTCGCCATGCGTCCAAACCCATGTACACACCAGAGCCGTAAGTACTTTGGCACAGAAAGTGTGTGAAGTTGCAGCAGACTAACAGCGGGGTCAGCCCAACTGATAATAACCATGTGGGACTCTGGGGCACTCCTGGGAACAGAGCTAAGGGAGAGTGGCCAAGTGACTACTCTCTTCTGAAAACATTTTTGGAAGATTTCTAGTCTTTTTAACAAGCTGCATCCTCTTCTGCAAGTTCTTATGGGACTGATCAGACAGTTTTGCTACTGAAGGCATACTTGTGTGGTGGCTGGGAGGCAAGAGAGCAGTGTACAAAGGCATTTAGCTTAGCTATTAGCACCCAAACAGTGGTGTGAAATCTAGTGCAGGAATGACTCAACATGTTGCAAGCAAGCTTCTGGCAGCAAAATAGAGGAAGCCCAGATCATTGATCCCTTCTCTTTTTCAGTTTTATGTTGTAATATTTCTCTCTGTTCCTGTCCATTGTCCTTTTCCACTTGCTGTTTTCAAAACAGTTTTCTTCCTCCGCTTCATATTGTTGCAATTCTTACTCCTCTCCCTTACTGTTTCTTTGCTTCCTACTTCTTCACACAGCTTCCTTTTCCCTTCCATTTTTCTATCCCTCATTCTTCTGATTTCCTCCCTGCTTCTCCTCACTCCATTCTCATTGTGTACAAAGCCAGGCTGAAATATCTTCCACAGACCTTGCCCTCCTGGGACCATCTTATCCCTCTCCCCTTTCCATCTCACCAAATGACTTCTCTGTCTTTGAAAAATCTAGCAGTCTCTAGGTGAGTTCTTCCCCAAACATGACTGTCCAGCTGTCAACTTCAACTTGTGATGAAAATAGTCCTACCTGAGGAAGGGTGAGCTTTCACCTCTCAGTGGGAGGCTGTGGGCCTGAACATGGACTGGAGTTGAGCTCTTGAGGTGCATATTGACACCATGGTGAATTGTCTTAGTAGCCTGAGCTTCATCTAAAGAGGTTTCTTGTCCTTGAGACTGAAAAGTCCGTGTTCCCTTTGGTGGGGTGATTTCTTTCTGGGCTTTCCTGAGCTGGGTGAGCAGTTGAATGGATGGTTTTCTTCCATAAGGAAAAACGAATGTGTCATCCTTCCTCTGAGGATGTATGATGATAAAAGCACTGAAAACCCTGGAGTGTGCAAGCCTTTCCACCACAAGAATAATTTTAGAGCAAAATGTTTTCCCGTGAGTCTTGAGCATTATTTGCTGGTAGGATCAAATGCATGGCACTCCTGACTATGTGCTGACTCTAGGGCATTCATCCAGCAATGATGGGCTTTTCCTAAATTAAAGTTATTCAGATGTCATGTTTTCCTGCAGTGATATTTGCCATGAGCTGCTAGGACATGTGCCTCTTTTTGCTGATCCCAGTTTTGCTCAGTTTTCCCAGGTAAGTTGCTCAGTGGTTTTACTATTTTTATAATTGAACACACCAGAGATTAGGTAATTCAGAGGATGAACCAAGAGCTATGAGGGGTGGGGTGTTTATTAGCATATTGTTTAAGAGTGGCCAAGGCTGATTTATTTATTGCTTGAAATCTTGACACAAATCACTTAGGTGAACTCATACACCCAAACTCCAAACGTCTGTCCTGTGTGAGTTGTTTTTTTACAGGCAAACCCTTTGCGAAGCCATCATCCAAAACCTTTTTGTAGCTGTTGATCCTTCTGAGCAAAGTTAAATGGCTCATGAGTCAGATGAATTATTGCCCCACCCTGCAGTCCAAATGTTAGGGAAAGTGAAGATTTTTTTTGTTTGTTTTCTATTGAAACCACAGAGGAGGCTGAGTGAAGTGGGGAACTGTCCCAGCTGCAAGCATGGGAGAAGGCAGGAGAGGAGCTTTCTCTTTGGTAGTGTTAATGTCTCTGGAAAAGAAGCCAAACCTCAGTGAAGGAGTAAACTTTTGGCTGCATCTTACCAGAAAACATGAAAAGACAGGAAGAGAGAATGTCAGACAGAGAGAGGAAGGAAGGAAGGAAGGAAGGAAAAGGAAAGACAAGAAGAGAAAAAAAGAGACAAAGAAGGATGGAGAGAAGGACGGAAGACAGAAGGGTGGAAGGGTGGAAGGGTGGAAGGGAGGAAAGGAAGGAAGAAAGGAAGGAAGGAAAAGGAAAGACAAGAAGAGAAAAAAAGAGACAAAGAAGGATGGAGAGAAGGACGGAAGACAGAAGGGTGGAAGGGTGGAAGGGTGGAAGGGTGGAAGGGTGGAAGGGTGGAAGGGAGGAAAGGAAGGAAGAAAGGAAGGAAGGAAAAGGAAAGACAAGAAGAGAAAAAAAGAGACAAAGAAGGATGGAGAGAAGGACGGAAGACAGAAGGGTGGAAGGGTGGAAGGGTGGAAGGGAGGAAAGGAAGGAAGAAAGGAAGGAAGGAAAAGGAAAGACAAGAAGAGAAAAAAAGAGACAAAGAAGGATGGAGAGAAGGACGGAAGACAGAAGGGTGGAAGGGTGGAAGGGTGGAAGGGAGGAAAGGAAGGAAGGAAGGAAGGAAGGAAGGAAAAGGAAAGACAAGAAGAGAAAAAAAGAGACAAAGAAGGATGGAGAGAAGGACGGAAGACAGAAGGGTGGAAGGGTGGAAGGGTGGAAGGGAGGAAAGGAAGGAAGGAAGGAAGGAAGGAAAAGGAAAGACAAGAAGAGAAAAAAAGAGACAAAGAAGGATGGAGAGAAGGACGGAAGACAGAAGGGTGGAAGGGTGGAAGGGTGGAAGGGAGGAAAGGAAGGAAGAAAGGAAGGAAGGAAGGAAGGAAGGAAAAGGAAAGACAAGAAGAGAAAAAAAGAGACAAAGAAGGATGGAGAGAAGGACGGAAGACAGAAGGGTGGAAGGGTGGAAGGGTGGAAGGAAGGAAGGAAGGAGGGGAAAATGGACTTGATGTAACATCCTGCTCACAAGACAAAAGTCGACTTGATGTTGTTAGTAAGCACTTAGTATTGCCCTCATGCTCCGCTCTTTCCCAGAACTGGGGTTTCCTTCAAGATAAGCTCTACTGCACCTTGGCTTATTAGGATTTGACATGGTGATGGCTGCTCCCATGCTTTTGGTGTGTGGGTGTGTGGGGTTCTGATTTTGCATTGCGCAGTCCTCACTGGAGCAAACCAAGAAAGGTACCTGGTTATATACCATCTTGTGTGGCTGTCTTCTGGATCCAGCTATTGCATGCCTCCCAGGAAAGTCTCCATTAGCTCCTAAGGTACAAATAAGCTCTTCCAAATTGTGCCCTGCCATTCAGAAAAAATCAGTCATTCAAGGCTCCGGGAAAACTGCAATCAGGGCCCATCAAAACAAAGAGAAATATTTAAGGTGTGTGGGTGTGACTGATTTATCTCCTTTTGACCGTATCATTCTCTTAGGTGTGCATTGTAGATTGATCAAAAGCCTGTCAAAGCAAGAGGAAAATTTTATTTGACCTCAGTGGGCTTTGTACCAGGCACAAAGGATCATGCCTTGTAAATGACATTTGGACAGGACCCTTTGTTCATTTCTGGAGAGATTTCTGGTTTAAAACTGATGTTTCATGATAGGAACATGTCCCGTAAACATTTGTGTGTGGTAGTAAGCAATGGTAACATTTCAAATGTGAGAAATTACATAAGACGAGACAGGAAGAATGTTTGCAATAAACAGCTTGAAGAATAATGGTTTATTGTTACAGGAAATTGGACTGGCATCTCTGGGAGCTCCGGATGATTTCATCGAGAAACTTGCTACGGTAATTTAATAAATGAGGGCTCAGTTTTCCAAAGCATACTGTGTTGTCTTAATTCTGCTGCCACTGAAGTCACTGATAGAACTCCCATAGAGTTGAATGGGAACAGAGTGAAGTCCATGATTGGAAAACCCCACCCTGAAACAGTTGCATTAAAGGAAAATAACTTTGGCACCCCTTATTCAAAGTGACAGTTGTGATTAAACACAGAAGCCCAGACAAGATTTCCTCCAGCACAAACATATTGGGCAAGAAGACATTATGTGTTACTACATCCCCACAGGAAATTTCAGGAGGCAGCTTCAGTAGTTGTTCTACCTGTGAGTGTCCCTTCTCTTCCATCCTGCCAGGCAGATAATGTCCTCTGCAGTCAGTGTGGCTCACCTGAATCCTACTCTGAGACTACTGAGACCCAGAATTGCAAACTTCAAATAAAAAAAAGGATATGCCTGTGAGATTAGTGTCCCCAGTGCCAACTCACCTGGGCAAAGCATTGCACCATCTTTGCTGTTTCTGATAGATGAGGTAGTTCTTCTGAGCCAGAGCAGGTATCCCTTCAAAATGACAGACCAAGAAGTCAAGCTAGGCCACACATCATCTTCCTTCAATATTGCACTAACAGCCCATTCCCTCTTTTGCTGCTGCAGCTAGATGCAGCCCTCTGTATGAAACAGGACACAAACTTCTATCAACTAAAGTTCAAACTTTAACTGGGTTGGCCGGGCAAAATGAAATTTTATTGCTATAGTTTCATTGTCTCTGCTCTGCTGACAAATGTAAACATAGTAAAAGACAACTGTGTGTGTCAGGGAACTGAGCTGATTCGCAGGCACATTGAGTCTAGCACTGTGCCCTTTCCAGGTGAAGAATTTCAGTTTGTGGGGACATTTACTGTATTTATACAGTTGATATTTGACACATGGCAACATTTTAAATAGAAATGTAAACTCCAATTGTATTCAAATCAATGATGTGTGCCTGCTCTTTTTGATCAAGGAATCATATGTTTCTGTCTAATTTTCTTGCTAGGTTTATTGGTTTACAGTGGAGTTTGGACTATGTAAGGAAGGCGATTCACTCAAGGCATATGGCGCAGGGCTGCTGTCTTCATTTGGGGAGCTGCAGGTGTGTTCTATAAAACAACATTTCGAAGATGTTTATAATCGCTCAAATTTCTCTTCTGAATGTCTTCAGATCCTTATTTTGCTTCATACTTTGTGCACAGAAGTAGCACGAAATATCTACTTCATTGAAGAGCTCTAATAAATGTGTCAGTGTATACATACACAGGGGACTCATACCTGCTTCTTTCCTAGTAAGTGACATTGTCATTGTATTCCACAGGAGCAACTCTTTCCTGTCTGAAACTGGGTGGCATTCAGTAGCTCTATCTTTCTTTCACAGCAAATTCAAGCACTTTTTAACTGAAATAAATTTCTTATCCTTTTGCTCATAGTATTGTTTATCAAGTAAGCCTGAGATTCAGCCTCTTCTCCTGGAGAAGACTGCTGTGCAGAAGTACCCTGTTACTGAGTTCCAGCCTGTCTACTACGTTGCTGAAAGTTTTCAAGATGCAAAAGAAAAGCTAAGGTAATGCAGTCATTCCGTATAAGATCCATTTTCTTGTCCACTGCCAATGCAATGGATCCCATTGCCATAACAAGTCTTGGGTTGACAGTAATGTTTTCAGAGGCATTAGAAAAAGTTGTGCAATGCTTAAAGAGACTAAGCAGTTGTTACACTCAAAATCTTGTCAAGGGGAACATACCTTATACATGAAGCCAGGAATTTGTGTTTAGTCTAATTAAGAGTTTCATCTGTATAACCAAAATGCAACAAAAAATTATTATTAGTCCAACTGCAATGATACTAATACTTAGGGACAAAGCTAGCTAATTAATACAAAACAAGTCTCTTTAACAATACTATAGTTATAAGTTTTTGTACAAAAAATCACCTAGTATCTACTCCTTTTCCTCTGAAGTTATGCTCACCCTTACACTTTCTTTTATGTCTTAAGTCAACAGTTTCAGTCTGGTGGTGGGGGGTGGAGTTGTCAAGTAATCAGCATCTTGAGGTCTTCAGAGCAGGGCTGTGATGTTAATGAATGGAGCTTCTTCCTCTCTTTTGTGAGGAGGTGGATGGCGTTGATGCTGCTTTTCTTCCTCCTCAGCCCAAGGTTTCCTCAGGGCCATTTTTATGTTTTCTAACATGCTTTACATCTTGCTCTTTCTACATTGGTCTGCAAATCTATGTTACTTCTGACTTTAAAATTTGTTAAATGTTTTTTTCTTTGTCCCTTTTGTTTCCTCTAAAACTGTTTTTTTTTCCTCAGCTCCTAAGTTTGCTTTACTATGAATAACTGACCAGTGGGGAGTTGTTGATAGCCCAGGGACAACCAGCATAATTCTATGCTCGCACTTTTAAAGCCTCTGTTATCAGCCCATGCTGGTACTCCTTTATGCTGCATCATTACTTTAGGGTCAGACTTAGTTCACTCTCTACAGCATAACTACTTGCTATTCCTGCCTATATAAAAATTATTAATGATAGACATTGTAGCACACAGTTATTCAGAATTAAGCAAGACTAAAACAAATTAGGTAATAGCTGTAAGGTCATTAGACAATTGCTGTTACAGCTGAACAAAACTGCAAGCGAGCCTAATAAACCCAATCCTGAGGCCTGTGTGGTAAGCTTAATATAGAGCCTCCAGCTTGTAACCAGCAGTGTGTTTACAAGACTACAGGGCTACACAGTAAATCTTTCAGTCATCTGTGACTGAAATAGAGATTCAGTTCCAGTTCAACAAGACTTTGAAATAATGGTCCAGGTTCAGTTCTGGTTCTTGAAACAGGAATGCTCAGACTGTGTTTGGTGTTCAGCTTGGGTTCCACCTCACAGCAATATTTCTATTTCTGTTTAAAAAAACCACCACCATATTTCTGGATGTCAGCCAAGCCACTGGGGGATAGCCTTGGCTCACAGTCAACAAATTTTTCACTTGGAGATGCCACACAGGGACTTGTCCCAGACCTGCAGTGTCTTCTCTCTTTCTCTCTCTCTCCCATTCACAGATAAACACATACCTAGATGCAAGATACTTTGCTGCCCCAGGCTCCCCAGCTCCAAAGTCTTCCTAGCTACCTCCCCTGCTGCTTCCTCAGCCATCACAAGCCTGAAGCCTCTCCTTCTGCCCTTTTCTCTGGGGTAATACCTGAGAAAGATGGCCTTCTATTCTGGTTTGTGCTATTAATATCCTGCACACATTCCTATCTTCTCTGTATGCTTCTCTAACTCAGTAGCAAGTTCCTTGAGAAAATGGAAGATGCTGCCTTACTCTATAAAAACCATCTGGGAGCTTCTTTTAATTATTTCAGTGACCAAATTGGAAAACTGCTTAAATTGAAATAGAGGTCTGGGGGTTGGTCCAGTGCCTGTGTTGGTGGCTTGCACCTGGACATGTGTGTTTGGGTGTAATAGAAAACCTCCCTGAAAAAGTATTCTGAGGCTAACCTAAAATATTCCAGCTCAAGGCATTCATCTTCTAATTAGTATCTTACCTTCAGCTGAGATTTAGGAAGACTGTCTTCTAATGTGGATCTCTCCCCTTAGAAAAACTGGACTGATGCCACTAAACACTTTCATCCTAACCAACACAATTTTTTTCCACTGTCATACCTTGTGGCCTGCTCACACTGAACTCTATTTGAGACAATGACCTTAGCTGATAATAAGTAGGACTAAACTGAAGGAGCAATGTGGAGGTGGCATCTAGCATATTCCACTGTTCTGGGCATATGGGATTTACCATGCTGAGTCACAGTCTGTCTAGTGGGGCTCCATAATCAACTCCTGCATGCTTTCCTTCCTCTTTCAGCAATAACTTCAGTAATCAGAAGCAGATATATAAGCCAGTATCCTGCTGGGGTCTACAAGGAGCCTGGAACAATAGCTCTGACCATCTCATCCGATTCAGAGTCCTCCTTTCCACAGTTCTGTGGTTATGCAAAATAATGTTCTCCCAAGATACCAAAATCTTAATGTTTCTGCCATATTTTGCAGAAGGGAAGGCTGCAAATAAGGGGTGGCAAGAATCCTGCTTTACTCTATTGACTATCTCCTATCTTTGCAATGACCTGGAAGCCATTACCAACCATGCCAGAAGTTAGCACTCTGCTTGCTCCTAAGTATGCCAGGGTGGCATACTACTTGACCTTACTTTCCCTGAAATTGCAGACTTGGATCAGGATTCCTATATTTTGCATTACTGAAAGGAAAATGAGGTTTTCAAGTTTGGCAAATCCTGATAGCTACATAGTTGGCCTATACCAGGAGCAGTGTTGCCATGCAGATAGCATAGTTAGTCCTGTTTGGAAAAAAGCAAAGGTGGTAAGGACAAATGCAGATTCAAGCGTGTTACAGAATACTGTAGGTCTCAGATCACTCGGCAGGAATTTCAGTTATTTCCTCTCACAGATTTTCTTATTCCCCTCATCAAATGCACACACTAAGAAAAGAGTGAGTTACTGAAAAAAGGAGCTTTTCAAGTTTGTATGTGTGTTTTTGTATTTTTGCCTCAGGAAATTTGCTCAAACGATCCCTCGTCCTTTCTCTGTCCGGTACAATCCCTACACCCAGAGGATTGAAGTCTTGGACAATGCAAAGCAGCTGAAGAACTTAGCCGACACTATCAATAGTAAGGAACTACAGATTTGTTACCTTGAATTCCTCAAAACTTGGATCAGAAATAGCAACCACAAAGCAGATTTCATCTGGTTGCATTTAATGCTCTGAGCCTGACCAAGTTCAAGCAGCACATATCTCCTTTCTGGTGCAAAAATTGCTTCCTAACTCTTCAAGCTTCAAAATAGCATTTCCACTTGACTGTCGTTTGTTACATCTGAAATATCCAGTTTTAGCGGAGGTAGCACCTGCTAGGAAAGGCCAGAGGGCCTTGTGATGGATTCTGATGTGTGGCTCTAGCTGTTCTCAGTAAGGAAGAAAAGGAAAAGCTTGGCTTTAATCACATTGCCTTTTGCCATTCTAGCCTTTTTCCTGATACGTTTTCCCCCTAACATTGGCTAGCCTGCTAAAAGCCAGCACCCCTGATACTGTGAGCCATCCTTATATGGCTGATGAAGGCAAAGGGCTGACTCTGCAAACCTTACTCCAGTAAGACCCTAATAAATATGTCCAATGTAGCTTTTTTTTTTTGCCTTATTCTTTCAGGGAATGGATATAAAGGATAAACATACACAGGAGTGTTAGAAATGGGCTAGTTGTAGGATTAACTGCTCTGATTCTTTCCTTTGCAGGTGAGATGGGGATCCTTTGCAATGCCCTCCAGAAGATAAAATAAAGATTCGCTGTAACTTGCTAATCGCTGGCTACTGACTAGAAGCTGCCATGTGCAAATACCAGTCTTCATCTAGTCTCAGTCTATTATCTTCCTGTGTATTGCATGAATGCTTATGTTATATATCTTAATTACTATAGATTAGCGGAGAAAGAGACACCTACAGGTGACCCTTGACTCTTTTGGCCTTCAGACACTAATCCATTTTTTCTCACTAATGCAAAAAATCACCTTAGTTTTGGGAATCTGAGAAAAGCTTTCGTATCTCTTGTGCCAAAGGTTAGCAGAAGGAGGAGATCTCCACCATGCAGAGCTATAGTCTGCTGCAGCTGTGAGGTTGCATTACCACCCTGGGCCCAGAGACAGGGTCGTAATGACTAACAGACTAATCCACCTTGCTTTCTCTTACATTCTCCCCTCAGTCCCTCACATTTGTGCAAGGTTCCCATGGAGTCCCAAACTGTACACTTTTCAGGGGGTATGCATATACTGCTTGGCCCTCTGTACCTCTACTTTTACACACAAGCACCTCTATTCTGAAATATTTTTTTTTTCCTAAAAATGTGATGTTGCCATTGATCCAAAACACAGATGCTAGCAGAAAAAACAGCAAGCATGCTGCAGCCTCATTAACAAAGATTTATCACCATGTATAAACATACTGTATTTGCACAAGCACCGATCCCAAAAAGGTTTGTGTAAGCCAAGAACGCTGTGTGTTGTGATGTGTCATTGGTTTGCAGAGTGGAGTCCCTAGGCAAAGCACTGAGACTGCCTATCCAGAGCATGGAGTCTGTGCCTCAATACAGTACCCATGAAAAAGCCCCTTCAGAGCACAGTTACCTAAAGGCAAGTCTGCATGGCTTTTTGCAGTTGGATGTGAGGTCAGCTTGTCAATACTTCGTGCAAGCAAGAAACCATGCAGATGTTTTAACAGGGCATCAAGGCCTTATTAGTCCAGTCTCAGAGCTGTGCTGGCTATAATGTTGTGTAACATCATGGATTCAGAGCTGATTTATGACCAGCCAGCTTAGAGAAAGGGGAGACCTCTCTTAATAGACATAATCAGCTACTCACTGTGGAAGGCTGACCTGTGAAGGCTACCTTGTGTTGTGTGCGTCCTTCTCTGAGAGTGCTTTATTGAGCGCTGCTACAAGGTGTCTCCTAACTTTCTGGACTCACAATCCAGGAGGTGGATACCAGCACCTTGGAAATGGAGGAGAAGTGGTTCTTACAATGCTGTTGAAGACATCAGAGCCTTCCAACTCCTAACTCACTGTATCTGTGGCTAGAGGCCCCACCAAAGCTATGGAAGACCTGAGTTAGCTGTGTCCCAGTCTGAGTGCATTCAAACCCAAACATGATATCTTTCAAGACAACTCCTAAGTCATGATACTTTTTGGAGTCTCATTCCTTCTCCCACTTGAGCTTTAATCTCCCTTTTTTGGTTAAAGCAGTTTTATTCTTCCTGGAGTATAGCTCGACTGAGGCAGCAAATGGAAGCAAGGGTGAATCCAGCTTAACTCAATGGCTGAGCCATGGAGAGAGAAGAGCTTGGCTGTTCAGAAAGCTGTTTCTGTATTTTTTCCAATAACTTTCACGCAAAGCAGCTAAATGCCCTCCTGGACTGGTCCACATTGTATAATGCCTGCCTGTTGCTCCCTAGTTGAAGGAGGAAGATCAGCCCTTGTATATTGGAACAGAATGGAGCAAAGCAAAGCAGAACAGTATTTCAAGCGTGAAACAATTCTGCATCATGATACTAACATGATTCAGGAGTCACATTTCTGTTAGAAGATCCAAAGATGGAGAGGGATTTGAAAGTCCACAAGTCTCATACCTACTATTGTACTACTCTTGTATTTATAGTTTGAAAATCAATGGAGCTTTAATGTAGGCATCATCCTTTAGGAAGATAGAAAGTACAGCTGTTTCCATTATATTTATGGTGGGTAATAACATTAATCTAAGCATACCAGCTGGAACCCTTTTCAATAGACATATACTTATGCAAAATGGTATCATTTTGGTGCTTTGAAGTAAGCTTTTTTATCTCTGTATCTTTTTTCTGCCTTTTTTTCTCATGACAATGTCTGTGTAGATCTTTCAGTCCCGCTTGGCATGTATTTTCAGTGTGAAAGTAGCCCATATTTTTCTCTCTTAATATAATAGAACTCAGGAGGTAACTGTGTACCATGAAGAGACAATTTCATCTCAAGGGTGAAGTCTTTCAAACTAATCCTCAGACAGCTTTCCAAGCTCCTCTGCTTCTGGCTGTTGTTATGAGAGACAGCAGCAGTGAATCTATAGTGATATTGAGAACCCAGGATTCATGGTTGTCTTTTATGTGCGAGTGGAATGGTTAAAGAATATTGATGCCACACGTCTGATTCTGTGTCCCTTAATGCAGGTTTAATTGAGCAATAACTCCAGCCAAGGCAGCATAACATACCTGTTCAGCAAGACTGAGAGAAGAGAAAAAGTTAATGCTTGGTATTTTAAAAGCAGAGGAAATATACTGAAAGTAGATTTTTTTGCAGAACAAATTAGCTTTTGGATATGTGCTTTAAATAATACAAATAAGTTGCATTTTAAATAGTACTTCTTAATGGGTGGCTTCTTATTTTCATGCTAAAGAAAATTAAAGTTGTGTAACAAACTGGCCAGTTATCTGGCCAGTGTAACTCCTCTTTGTAAGGTAACCACACAGGTCGATCAGAATTAAATACCAAGGTAGGGAGGAATGCCCATTTGAAGTGGGTTCCAACTCAAAAAAGGCTGTCTTGCACTGGTTGAGTATCATTCACCCGGACAAGATCATGAAACTGATATTAAAAAAAAAAATCTCTTGATGTGTGTAATTACCTGCAAATGTACAGGAAAGCCTTGATTGCTCTACCTTTGCATACTCTGTACATCTTTGTATGCTACTCTGACTAACCTATCCCAAGCTACTCTTTTAAGTAACCTTCCTCTTTTCTATCCCACTATGATCACATTTTTTGGTGTCCCCCATCTCCAGCTCTGTTTCAGGTGACCAAAGCAGCTCCTCTCATGAGGACCTCTTCCTTTGCAGTCACCTTGGCCAAGGTCAGTGATGGTGATGGAGGGGGGAGTTGTCAGCACAGGTTGCACAGAGAGGTGGTCTCCTCTGGGTGTCTTAAGATGCCTAGATTGACAGCAGCCTTGGAGTTGGGATGTTTTATTCCCCAAAGGATCCAGAAATTATTGAAAGAGGGATTAAGCACAAGAGGACCCCACAGAAGTGCATTCTTTTAAAGCCTGTCTCTTCACTGTTTCAAACCTTTCTGGCAGTTGGCAAAGAAGACTTTTTTCATGCTCAAATGTAACCATTTAAACTAACCTAAATAAACAGAAATATTAACGCCACATCCGTCTCAAATGAATAGCACTGTGCTCATACAGGGTGGAGATATTTGCAATGGGAACAGATCAAAAATGGGCAGGTTGTTTGTGGCGATGAGCCATGGTCTTTTAAAGCACCCACCTCAGGGGCTGCATGAGAGGGGGTGAGCCTACTCTTGGGGTGGGAGATCCCCACCTTCTGCAGGGAGAAGCTGCCTGTCCCCGTAGGAAAGGACGACACACTGTGCTCCAGCCCTTGCATAGCCCTTTAAACTGCAGCACCCAGTCTGAGACCTCTCCTCCTGTGCTCCTAGAGGTGCCCAAAAGTGCTGAAAGTAGGACTCTGGGATGTCTCAGCAGAACTAACTTACACCATGACACCATGGGTGAGGCCTTCCTAGGCCTGCCCCAAGCATGGATTCAAGGTGGTATTGGAGTGTCCACTGGCTGGGCAAGGACATTTCACCACCTGGAGAGCCAGGGCTCTCTGTACTGGTTTTTCAGTGGGCTGCAAAGCTGTGCTGTAAGCTTTGCCTATGCTGCTTCAACTGTCACACTGGCTGATGAGTCCAGTCTGGCTCTATAGAGAAACCTCAATTCATACGCAGAACCACGATTAGTGCTGTACAAACATATAGAGATGGGACTCTGATACTAGAGCACAAAGACAGCCATAGGAGCCTGATGTTCTTGCTCTGCCAGTATTTGTGACCAGTGCCCTAAACATGCATCTTGAGCCCTAGGGCTTTCACCTACATGTCCACATGTAGCTGGAGTAGAAGACCTTGTGCCATTTGTTGTTCGTGCCATGCCTATGGCCTGGATGTGGGGATGCATGCACCCACCCTTCATGGGGAAGGCCCAGTTTGGACTCAGACAGTCAGCTTGTTCTCCTGTGCCCAGCCTTGCCACCACTGCTGGGAGAACGTGGGAGTGCGAAGAGGCTTTTTCCCCTTTAAAGCCCACTTCTTCTCCCTCCGCCCCGTTCAGTTTGCAGCTGCAATTCAGCCGCCTCTGAAGTGCCCCCTTGCCCTCCCGGAGCCCCCTGGGACATGAGCCAGGCCGGGGGTGGGGGGCCCGGGGCCGCCCGCGGAGAGAGAGGGTGCCGCAGCCCGGAGCCAGGCCGGCTTCAGCACCGCGGACAGCGGCCCGGGCCCGGGCGGGGCACGGCCGGGGGAGACACCTCTTCCCGGGCTGGGACTTGCCACACTCTGCAAAGCCCGCACTGCCCGAGGTCTGGATGGGCCGATGTTCCTCAGGACGCTGAGACCTGCCTCCTGGGCATGGTGCTCCAAAATTCACCTTGGGTTTTCTGCTTCAGCCAGGCAATAGATGGGGAAATCGAGACCTTCCCAGTGCTCTGTCTTGGGCCGAGGGGAAACACGGTGCTGTCATGGTCTCTGGAGAACAAAATCGGGTTGCACTGTCTTTATCTTCCTTGGCCAGGGAGGAGGCAAGAGCAATACAGCACTGGGGTGGGTGACCCAGCCAGGATCAGCTAAGGGGCACATCAGAAATGGCTCCATCTGCAAAGGGAGGACAGAGAGGTGGTCTTCTCTGTGGGCCTGCAAGATGGCTTTCACAGGGGTTCCAGCACACTGTAACTTTATGAAGATATGGGTGCTCATACCCAGAAACATGCTTGTGGATGTCAAGGGATGCCATGCTCTGGCAGGAGCAGAGCTGAATCCCTCCCCAGCTTGCCCTGCCACCTGTGAGAAAGATGTGACCCTGGGCTTTTTGAGAGTCTACTTTGCTGGAGATAAAATAATGACAGAAACAAGTTCCAACAGAGGAACTTAGCCTGGAGGCAACACTCAGCTCTTGTAGGGCTAGGGTAGAACAGGTCAGATCTTGTGGGCAGGAAAAGCTCAGAAGTAGGCAATGAACTTTGTCTCTGGCTCAGGTCTCTCTGGCACTCCCACAGTTGTGTCTGTGCAGAGGGGACACCACTTGGATTGGGCTAGGGTTTGGGGGAAGAGCCCCTTTGGTTCCCCAGGGTCATGGTCAATTCAGAGAGGGCCTCAGTGAGGTAAGAGAGGGTGGGGAGGAAGGGCAGTCTGAGACATTGTGCAGGTCAGTCCAGAGTGGGAGATGTAAAATGGGGCTCAGGCTAATTGCCTCTCCACAAAGGAGCCCATCTCCAGGGTTGAATGGCTTGCAGACACCTTCAAACAGAGCAGGAGGGTTGCGCTTTGAAGTTACCCAGAGGAGGAGGGCTATTTTGGGCTCTTGCGCATATCCTACGCAGGCGGTTTCCCTTGATGTGTCTGGCATGGCCAATATAAATGTCCCTACACCTAACATAGTAGCAACCAGCTTGCTTCACTGCTGTCTGGCAGCTCTGATCTCACCACCCACATATACGCACTGCATCTCCAGTCCCACCACATCTCCTGGCCATTGCTCTGGTAGAAGCACTCACATCCTCAGGCAGTTTCCACTCAACATCTGGCAACTGCAATCCACTCCCCTGTCTCCCAATGAAGACTGACATGGTGGGGATCTCAGGCCAAAAGGAAGAGGCCAGCAAGGAGAAGGAGATGCGTGGCATAGAGTCATTGAACAGGCAAGGCAGCCTGGACTCCAACAGGGAGGATGGCAGAGCCACTCTCATCCTGACCCTCACCCTCTGCAACCTGAGGAAGACTGAGCTCCCTAAGGCAGCCAAAGTCTTTGAGGTACAGACCTCACCATTCCTTTCCTCCACTGAGCACTCTCTTCTGTCCCTATTGCCTTCACCTCTCCCACTTTGCATCTCCCCTGTCTCACCCTTCTCCTGCTCCCTGCCTGACTTATGCCTCCACCTACCTTCCCCCTTTGTCATTGTCCCTGTTTTGCTACAGCTGCTCAGAAAGGTTGGCTGGTCTCTCCAGGTCAAGGAGGAGAGTGTTCTGCAGGGAGGGAGCAGCTGGACACAGTCATTTAGAAGAATCACCATTTTATGTAAAGGCTGTTTAGAGCAGATACCAGTCTATTATTTCTTTCTAGCAGTTGTGGTGGCTAGCCACGACTAAACAACAGGCTAGTATTTCAAGCACTCAGATTGTGGGGATGTTAGAAGCCAATGAATTTTCTCTGCATATTTGGCAGGAGTTACAGAGAATACAAGAGCTGTAAACCATACAGGCATTATATATTCTGGGCACTTGAAGTATCCCTACCAGGTGCTCACTCTCATCTGTGAAAATGAATAACTCAAAAGAAAAGTATTATATTTGTTACTTATTTTTAATCGTTTGTAATTATTTAATGATTATGTTGTTATTATACATCAATAGATCTGCTTTCATTCTCCCAGGGTCTTAAGAGTTACCCAGCCACTCATTTGTTATATCTGCACAGATGAAATGCTACATTCAACAGTATCTCATCTTTCATCTCCATCTCTCTCTACCTAATTCTACAGTGTTTAATCTTTAGCTCTGCCTGTATTTTAGCTCCTGCTAAACTGGGCATTATTAGGATTCATTGCTTAACACGCACTTCTTGTTAAGACCTGTTTTAGTCACCTTTTAAAGATGTTGTAGAAGTGTATCTAGACTTACCTGGATTTTCAGTCTTTGGAGAAGCTTCATCATATGAACTCTGGCTCTTGCAGATGTTTGAAACTCAGATCCATCACTTTGAAACCAGACGAGCCAAAAAGCCCAAGAACTCTGCTGATGATCTTGACATTTTTGTTGAATGTGAAGTTCACAGTGCTGATGTTAGTATCCTTATCACCTCCTTAAAGAGAGTAGCAGAGGATGTGAAAACTAGCAGAGAAGACAAAGGTAAGAAACATATGCATCTGTTAGTGCTGTTTTGTTTCTTTTTGGAGTAACTTTTTTAGCATTAGCTTCATAATAGTAATTTGATTAGTCTGGAAAGCAGGTAAGCATGCATTCATTTTTCTTCACTGCATGACTGTTTTCCCTGAATTGGGACCATTCTCATTGGTGTGGAAAGGGAGGCACTTTGTCATAGCCAGTGGAACTGAGGTGAGAAAAGTGTTCCAGCAAAAAGGGAGATGAGAAGGATAGAACAGCAAAACAAGAAGCTGAGGAGAAACTGGAAACTCCTTAATGATAGGAACATCGTGGGCTGAGACCTGAGAGCTGTGTGGAGAACTGACTGCTCCGAGGTGAGCACAGACACTTGATGGGAACGCAATGATATGACAGAGGGTCTGAATGTTTCATTTGCTTGTAGTTTATTCTGTCAGTTTTGTTAAAAGAAGCCGCAGCTGTCTGTTTATGGTGTCCACTGCTGTCTGGGTCCAGTAGTATTGTCTGTAGGTTGATTGCTCCTTCACTGAAAAGAGCTAAATGCAACTAGCTCGAAGAAGCTTCCAGAGTGCAAGAGGGAGAGAGGGTCAGCAGAAAGCCTGCAGGGCAGGCTGGGGGAACCAGGGGATGAGCTTTTTGTAGAGAACAGACCCACAGCCAAATATGGAGTAACAGAGCATCAGGCATTTTCCCAGGCACCTGAAAAGCTTGTTTGGAGGTTGTGCAGCTTCAGAGGTTGCACTTTAGGAACAGTATTTCACCTGGCAAAGTGCTGCAAGCGGCTACTCCACTGCCTGTGCTGTATTTGAGTCACCGTGTCTACCAGTCATTAGGATGGAAAGTGAGTTTGCCAGAGGTAGACCAGTATTTTTCCTGTTTACAGGCAGGTAGGAGATTGGTGAGTACAACAAGCTGTTAGAGACCTTTAATACAATCCTGAGGATGCCAGAGGTGCCCCGATAGATGAGAAAGCTGAGGGTCCAGCTCATAAGTTGAGTTCTCTGAATACAGAATTGCCATGAGTTTTCCCACCCTTGACAAGGCCAGGCAGAAATCTCCAGGGCCCTTTTAGCTAATACAGTCCTGTTTGGGCACCTTTGGGTGTTGCTTGCAATTCACCTTCAGGCTAGTGATGAGAGGCAGTCCATACCGAGCTGTTCTCAGGGACTGAGGGGATACCAAAAGGGTATCACTGTCATCAGGGAAACTGGAGCGCCAAAGAGAGTTTTGGAGCTGAAGAAGCATTTCTTTAGGATTCCCTTGGGAGTTGAGAGCTTTGTGCTCAGAAGTAGCAGTTAGTTTCAGGTGTGCTGGGACTGGGATCTACAATAAAAACAAGGGACTGTTAAAAAGAGGGTGTGTTTATGGTTAAAGCAGAGGAATATTAGGGACATAATTTTCTTTACATTTTCCTTTTTCTTATGGTTTTGAACAGCAATCATAAAAGTAATCAGGCTTATTTTGGATGTAATGTTGCTAGAATTAATATACTTGGCATGCAAATGGCCAGAGTCTTTCTGTTTCTAAGTTACCTCAGACTTACACACAGCACTCCTTAGTTTGTAGAGTCTTTTCTGGGTGTTTCAGACCCCAGAATTCAGTAGTGCCCTAAGCAGTTAATTTGATTTCAACATGAAAGGGTCAGAGAGTTGGTATTTGTGGCCCACAGAGACACCTTAGGTGTGGGCACCAGCAAGAACTGGGGATTTTGAGGTTTTGGCCTTAAAGCTCTTTGTGTTTTTGGTCCTATTGAGGTGAATTCAGGGGTGCTAATGTGTCAGAGGACTTTCAGCTCAGCTAGCCCCTAGGTCTAAGATTGGCTAGTGGCTCATTTTACTGGTATTGGTTTTTATTGTTACTGTTTTTCAATATTATCTTATTGAAAGTGGCGGTGCATCTTATTGAAAGAGGCTAGCTGCAGCTTCACTTTCTAGTGGGGTTTGCAGATGCCTGTGAGAGCATATTGGTAACTAGGAGATATCTAAGTTGTATAAGCATGCTTACTGGTCAGCAATTATTTTACTGGGAAGATACAAATATGTACGTTCTGGCTACCCCCATCGCCTGAGGTTCCAGCTCCTGGATTAATCTATTTTTTTTTCCCACATGGACTTTTTATTATTGTCTTCGTAGTTTTTAGGTGAGCCAGACAGGTCTTCCCAGGCAGTTTGCTGAAGGACAGTGGTGAGACAATGTTCTGCCCATAGTGGCTTTAACCCAAATTAATTTGGTACTCAGTTGAGAAAAGCAGTGGTTATCTCTGCTTCCATGAAGCAGAGACAGATGCAGCCAAACTGGCATCCATCAGCACTATCCCTGTTTTACTGGCTGCATCCATTTCGGTGACCAGGCCAAGGGTTCTACCATGGTCCTTTTTCCCCTCTCCTTTAGCCTGTCTTGCTCTCTCCCAGGACTCGGCAAGGGGTAGGCAAGATGTGTATGGGGACATACACTGGAGGACTTATGATCAGGTACAGGTTTTGAGGAGATATGGCCACAGACGGCAGGACAGGCATCTTGCATGCAGAACCATTGGTACAGCCAAAGACAAAGGCTCAGCAAAAAAATTCTGGGGTGATGTAAGACATCTGTGAGACTAGCGTTTCTTCCTTTTTGTCACAGGATTGGCCATAACTGCATGAAAGAACTGGAATTTCCCAACGTTGGTGTGTATTTGTAGCCTTGTACCTTTGTGAACTGGCTTTGCCTGGATATAATATAACAGGGCTAAAGCTAAATTTACAATTCAGTAAAGAGATGCCTGGTCTCTCGTCAAGTATGAGATTAAGGTGACCCCAAACGGACCTTTTCTGAGCTGTAACACACTAAGTCTGATAACAGCATCAGTCTGACCTCGGAAAGCAGTATCAGCATTGTCTTATTTCAGTATTTTTAAAATTCATTGGTTATAAATGCTAGCACTTAAATTAAAATGAGCATACTTTAGTTTTATTTTAGTCACTAGAAAAATTCCCCACTTCAGGGGAAGGAAACTGTTTGGAAATTCAGCTAATGGTAGAATAATTTTGCTAAAAAAAAAATTTTTCTGAAAAAAAAAAAAAAAAAAGAGCCAGAAGGAAAAAACTTGAAGTCAAGATACTTCTTGGCCTGTTTTGTTTCTAGAAATTTCATGTTTTCCTTTTAAAATGTTGTTTTCAATTTTAAAGGTATGAAAATTTAAGACTACTTTTTAGACATGTTCAAAATATTTTCTTAAATCCAAACTGTAGAAATAAATTTGTTGTGCTTTGTCAAACAGAACATCTCATTTGGCCTAAAAGGAAATGATTTTGCCTTTAAAAATTATTTCTACTAATTACAACTGAGAGATTATCATTGCAAGTTAGTTTCAGATCATTTTTCATCCAGTCTGCCAGTTTGGTCAATTCAACTACTGACATATGGTGACACGTAGATATGAATATTCTTAGATATTGATGAAAAGAAAGCTTGTAATCTTCAGCACAACTTTTATTTTCTGTGTCTTTTAAAAATTATTTGATCCTATCTCATTTAATTCTTGCTGCTTTCTCTCCAGTGCCCTGGTTCCCTAGAAAAATCCAAGATCTGGACAAGTGTCACCATCTGATCACTAAGTATGATCCCAGTTTGGACCATGGTCACCCTGTAAGTTTGACCTCACTGTTATTTCAATTTTAAAAAAGAAACTCTCTGTAGTGAATTTTTTGTAAGGAAAATTTCAGGAGTAAAGAAATACTCATGAAAGGACAGAAAAAATGAAGGATCAGATAAAGGCTGATCTTCAGTGGAAGTAAGGAGTACAGAATGAATAACTTAATAATGAGAAAAGCTTATGGGTCCTGATTAATCAAGGTACATATGATTAACATCAGACACATGCCGAAGTAATTTCTATTCAACATATTCTTTAGCATGAGTTTACATTTCATTGTTTAGTTTAAAAAAACCTCTTGTTAATTATTTCACCCCTGATATATTTGAAGCATGTCCACTTTGTACTAGCTGGTCCACGTAACAGTCAAGTTCCCCAGCCTTCTGCTTTTTGTGTTTTCTATGTTTTGACCTTTCAGATAGTCCATATCTGCATTTTTAATTTTGCATATGCCAGGAATCTCGTTCAAGTGCAGATGTACAGAGGATGGTAATGAGGACAAGCAGCAAAGAGCTAGTCACTAATAAATACCAGATCCTCAGATCCCACAGAGGGGAGTATTATGCTTAAACTTGCAAAAATCGCCTAGACAGAAAATAAGATAAATACATGGCAGCATTGATTAATGGATGTAATACCTGAACGGAGATTTAAATGTGACTGGAGGAGCTCAAAAGGTCTAGTGATTTCAGCTGAGGTAAGCATCTAAAGTTTAAAGAGGAAGGAAGTTGGAAGATTATAATCCTAATTTACATCTGACTTTTCACAAGGTCTTTGGAGCCAGGATTTTGGCAGTACTTATTGATGCTACTCTGCAAAATATTGTTAGAATGTTTGTGACGGGCTTTCCCTTGGATTCAGGCAGTAGGTCTTGGTTATGAGTGGGCTGCAAAAAGGGCTTTACTCATAACAGTTTGTGTGTGTACTCTTAGCCATAAGCAGAAACTCTAAGAGGAGAAAGAAGAAAATGCACTGTAGAGTCCCGCTCTAGAGATGATAATAGTAAAGCAAACTACTGGGAACAAACAAACACTTGTTTCTCATCAAAGTTTTCCAACTTTAGTACAAATGAGATATGAGTTAGGTACAGACAAATAAGGGACTCCAAAGGGCCATTTGCTGATTGACAAGGTAGGTCACAGACTTGTTGTGAAGTGTTCTGCCAAACATCACATAGAAGTGATGCATGAAGAGGAAAAAAAGTACAAACTTTGCCCTGAAAAATGCAAGGAAGATTTAGATGGATGTCAACAGAATCTACAAGATATTGTCATTCCCTTTTCTAAATGTCTGAATTCTATTTAGACCCTTTTATTAACCTACACAATGGTAATGTTGTTAGCTATGTACAGTTCTGTGTGCTACAAAAAAACCCTTCTGAGTCTATCTTCTATTTTTGAGAATCACTTATTAAATTATAATGCTTTAGGAGAGCTTCATATCCTCCTTAACCAGGACATCTTTCATTCTTCCTCACATCTTTCTGATAGAAACAATCCAAGTATTTGTCATTTTCCTGAACTAGCTCTGAGGCTGTTTCTCATGAGATAAATGAATGCACATTGGGAATTCTTTCAATTGGACCAAGCTCCCCTCCTACTTTGCCAAATAGGAGGTATGAGCACTGAAGAGGAGGAGAGAAAGCACCAACAGTGCAGAGTTACAGAAGTATTGAGTGGGGATAAATCTACACTGCAGAATGCAGTGCAATGTAGAAATACCTAAACTAGCTTGAAACAAGTTAGCTCAGGCACTGAAAATCATTTGTCTGTGGCAGGAGGGAGCACAATGTGGGCTCATTTACTGTGCTGCTAAGCATGGCTCAAAAATGGACAGGTTGGAGGAAAGTACCAAATATGCTGATGTACAGGTGGCTCAGCAGAGATTTTGCATATACATTTACTACCAAATAGGCAATTTGGGCTGTCCATTTCAACAGCTTCACTTTGTTCTTTACTGTTTTCTTTAATGGCTAGAAAAGCAAACTGATGACACTGTGACACCAATCTCTGGGGCACCCTGAAACTGTCTGTAGCGGTCCCCCAGGGGGGCTCCTGCTGCTCAGAGAATGGGTACAGAGCCCTGGGATCAGCAGGGACAAAGCTGAGAGGTCACAGCATCAATGCTAGCCATCTGGCCTGATGGCTTCTCCACGTGTTTTGCATGGAATTGTTACAGCTACTGACAAGCAAGGGTGGCATCTGAATGAACATATTATCCATAACACATGATAAAAATAGACATGCTCTCGAGATCCAGTTCTTTCCTCAGATTCACGCACACAATACTCATTAACTGCAGTATTACTGGTATTATTGCTACACTGAAAATTATGTGAATAAACCTAAGGGAGAAATTTGGCTTGTAATATGCAAAGTGGTTCCAGTAAATTATGAATATTTTAGAATAATAAATATTTGTACAGTGATGCTGATCAACGCTGCTTTATGAGTTATATTAGTAACACAGTGCCAGATTTCAGATTTTATTCCTATTATGAATGATGTAAAATTCAAAGGAATTTGATTCCACATCTCTATTCGTATTTAATAGCTGGAGAAGCCTGCTTGAAGCTCAACTTCTAGTAAACGCCAGAGGGGCAAAAAGAAAACTCCAGTATTTAATATGTAAACTGCCCCTTTAAACAGATACCACTGAATCTGCCTTTATCATAACATGGTAATAAACGGGCAAGGGGGGACTGAGCTGAAAGGCTGTACTTTCTACAGATTCAGTGGCAGCTCTAATGATTTCTAGCCAGTGAGGACCCCTTCTTCGCCCAAAGTGCAGGGTATTGTGCAGGTGCAGTGTACTTTCTCTGGCAAGGTGGTAGTAGGCTTGGTACCATCATGTCCATCACAGTCCTATATTGCAACCTTCGTGCTTAGTACAGGAAAGAAATGATTCGGCGATTCGGCTCTTCCCCAACAGAAGTGATACCCCTATTTCAATTCCATTTTTAATGTGATTTGCATTTAAATTTGACTGTAAGTGTAATGGTCTGTGATGTAGTGTTTATGAACAACTCCAAAACCTTCCCACCAAGCCATGTTACCTTCTTTTCTGGTCACAGGCCCCAAATTTTCATCAAAATGTCACGGATGTAATTGATTGCAGACTTTGGCTTACCCTGTTCATAAGGCTCAAGGTTCATTGCCTCAATGAAAACAACCTATTTGAGGCCTAGATTTTCTGAATGCTTCTGTTAGCAAATTTATTTACGCCCACAAATCTCTCTTAATGTAAAACTTTTTTCCTGAATTATTTTCCAACTCAGGGATACACCGACCTGGAGTATAAGAAGCGGAGGGCATTCTTTGCTGACCTTGCCTTTAATTACAGAGCGTAAGTACAAGGCTGCTGAAGAGAGACTTCAGCAGTCCACATGTGCTTTCAGACATCTTCGTGTGCAAGAAATACTAGAGACTTAATCTTTTGTCAATGTATCAATGGGGCTATGTTTTAGAAGACAGAATTCAGCCACAGAAGCTTTCACTCCGTATGAAATAGACTTTTCCCACAACACAGCAAATATACCTTAATACAAAAATCTTAGGATTGCATTCACATCTCCTTCAGTGCTGTATTTTGCCTTAGCAGAGGTGATTTCTCAATATGACTCTTTCATTTCAATTTTGCAGTTCCTTTTAGGACTAGCTCCTGAGCTGAGGCTAATCTTTTTCAAGGAACTATAAGGAACAGTGTTTAGGAACATATTTTTGACAAAGAAAAGCAATTTACAATTTTTGTTATTTGTTTGATAAAATGTCTCTAGCTATGTACATTAGCTACCTAAAAACCTCTCAGGTCGTGTGTGGGTGATGGAAAATGTTTCTGCCTTTACGTGTAAAACTTCACCAGAATCACACTGCTGTCTGACAGAGTCAATCAGATGTATAGGTAGAACTGGTTGTGGACTATCAGCCTTATGGTATCCAAGAACTGGTGAAATCTCCCACGTCTTGAGACACTTCCATTTGAGTGCAGTTTTCTCACCACCACCATATATCACAGCTAGTGCAGCACAAAATGGCATAAAAGCACACACTGAACTGACTCAGAGCTACTGAAGAAGCGAGAGCGAGGAAGAGGAGAGAAGACCGCCCATCAGAGAAGTTAGTGATAGCTACACAGTGTATGCCTGAGCAGCTCTCTGCTGGTGAGTTCATGAATCCTCTTCTCTGATGATACTGTGCTAATCACATCCTCCAGGGATGGACCCTGCAGGCACACACTGCATTTCGGTTGCTAGATTGCCTTCAGCAGAGGTAAGGGTAAGCCTGAAGGCCTCTTTTTTCTTCTATGAAGCAGAACATGGCTCCCTTTCTCACCATATCCCTCTGTTTCCTCCCCACACCGGAACAGACAGAAAATGCACACATTAGATCCTACCAAGACAAAGAAGTTGTTAATTATATACTATTTTGCCATTTCTATCTTCATTACAGCAAATATTCATGATGCAGGCAAAGAAAATAATACTTGGAAACTGAACTTGAAACATGCTTTAGACGCATGCATTGTTTCCTCTCTTCATTACAGAGGAGACCCTTTGCCTCTCATTGAGTACACAGCGCAGGAGACTGCAACTTGGTGAGTTCATTACTTATACTCCGACTTCTGGGCCATGCCACTGCAGTCCCAGGAAAGACTGGCAATGTGAGACATTTATCACATTTTAAAACCATATTTATCCATCTCAAATTTTATTCCTTGGTTAAGTGTCGCCTTTTGGCCATTTGTTTTGCAGAAACCCATTCTCAGGGCTGGCCTTAACTATTCACTTTCTAGAGCAAAATGCATTTCCCTGACCATCTCCCTGCCTGCCAATCACATCAAGATATCAGAAGCCAGAAAACACCTGGAGCCTATAGTATAATTTCTTCTAACTGAACTCTAATTAACCATAGCTATGGTGGTGACAGAAATATTTCCTTTCCGAATCTGTTGCCGGGAGAAAATGCCCACTCGCAGGATGCAAATTCACTCAAAGGATGTGGCTAATCCAATGTTCATAGGACAGACCAGCCTTGTGTGCTCTCCTGCAAGCATTCATTGCTGTTAACATGAATAGGTATCATTCTCTCGAACTGAAGGTAAAAGAAATTTTGGAGTGCCCTCCCAGGATACATTATTTACACTGTAAAAAGGCCTTTGATGTCATATGAAATGATGGCAAGTTACTTTTACATGGGTGCAGAATTTCTTCACTGGGGCTTTGTTTCTCCTGAAGATTTGCCACTCAAAAAACAGCAACCAAAAAACCAACCAAACCAACCAACCAACCAAAATTAATTCAATTCAAAGTATGTTTGCAGATGTTATGTGAAGTATGTTGCAGATTTGAAAGACAACAGAGTTCTTATTTCATATACCTGTTTCCACTTTCTCCCACTAACTTTAACAAATCTCAGTAAGCAGCAATAATTACACATTTGTGTGATAATACAAACATGAATATGTCCAAATGTCCCAACTAAGAGCAGAGTCCCAGGATTGTGCAAGGTGCCACAAGTGCACATAATAAAAGAGAGTCTTTGTTCAGAAAAAATTACAATTTAAATTGAAAGGCAGCCTAAAGGTGGGAGAAAGGAAGAATGATGACCACATTTTATAACTGGAACTGAAAAAAGCTAGAGCTTAAGTGATTTGCCAAAAATTATACACAAAGTTTATGTCAATGCCAGGAATTAAATCCATACACTAGATGTCTCATGCCAGAACCTCAACCACAGGGCCATCCCATCTTTTTCAGTGATTATTTTATTTTAAATAAAATCTACTGTGCCATAGAAAGCTTGAGGGGTGTTGCCCACAATCACATAGAAACCTTGCATCCAACTCATCCAGGCGGTCACATTTTTATTAAGCTCAAATAGGTTTTTACAACATCTTTCAATTGTCGAAGATTGATGGTCGGTGTCATGCTCATGATTGCTACCACCAGCCAACAATCTTGGCATGGGATGGTGTGTGGGAACATCATATTTAAGAAAATTTAATTTTGTGTTCTTTCCTGTTTTTCCCTTTTGTTGCCAACCTCCGTCATTCCAGCCCTTCTCCACCTAGAATTAGTCCCACTGTGGTAACGGAATAGGCCTTTAAAGTAGTATCTGCCCATTTCCCCAAACAGCAGCCAGCCCCAGCAACCCAGGTTGTCTTGTTATGTAAATCTGTTTCCAAAATTAGACTTCCCAATGGTTATCACAGCTCCCTGGGCTGTGCCTTGAGATCAGCTACATTACAGCACAACTTAATTGAGCACATTGCAATTGAACGGGAAATTTGTAGCACAGAATAAATTCCCTTGGTGTTCACTCTGAAGAGTTGTTGGATGCCTTCAGTTTGTAGCAACATGATTATAAAAATGAAAACTAATCAAGTGAAGAAATATGACATTCAGAAAACAGAGGGTACAGATGATCTGAATTTCTGTTTTCAAGCAGGCTTCTTGGAAGGCCCTGAAACTAAGTAGTCATAAAAGACGTCTTATGGGTAAAAGCTATACAAGAAAAAGGGAGAATCTAGGACAAAATTATGTGATGCACCTGTCACATCTTCATAATAAAGCTGAATAGTGCCACTTCTTCCTAAAAGAATAAGGAAATTTATGTAAAATAAGGTCATTGTCTTTAAAGTCTTTCAAGTGGCTGGCTTCATCCTTCGTTATTAGGCTCCTTTCTAGAGTATTTCATAGCCCACACTTTCAGCAGTTTCTCTTTTCATCTCTGGACTGAAGTACCATCAAGTAGCACCTTAATGGTCCTTTGAGTGATAGCACCTCCATACGGTGAGGTGTTACACCTATTTGAGACACTACATTAGGGCAAGCTAAACTGTTGTCTGGAAGTATCTGTTACTTTATTGACTTTGGAGTGAACTTAGATGATTGCTTTAGAGGTACTTAAAGAGGAGGACACAGCTTTGGATAATTCATCACTAGTCTCTGAGACTGCCTGTGTTTCTGTGGTAGTCAATGTTTGGACACACAGTAGAATGATGCTTTGGTAAAAGAGACCATATGTGCAGAACTGTAAACAAGCCTGACCTCTCTAGACTCCAGTCTGGGGATGAACTGTGTACTGGTTCAGATCCTATGCAATCCCACTGAAGTCAGTAGTATTCTGTGGGGAAATAAGCCAGGGCAACACTTGAACTCTAGTCCTCCTCATTTTTTCCTAATTCTTCTATGGAAATGGCCCAGTCTCCTGCGGCTTTTGCAATAGTGACAGCAGCCACTGTTTCCCTCTGTTCTTCTAATTTTTTTTCCTCCTAAGGTTTTCCTCCACCCCCGTCATCCTGGTTCATTACTCCCACACTGTGTAAGACATTCGTACAAATGAAGAGAGCCATTACCAGGGACTGGCTATCACCTCCATAGCAACAATAGCATCACAAAAAAAATACAATACAAAAACAACAAAAGGTCATTTTCCGTAGCCAGCATTTCCAAGAATGATCTCAATTTTCATAAAACAATGTTTATAAAATTGTTAACACCCTAGGGCCATGTCTGAACAAAAATAACCATTTCTATAAGGTTCTTTGCCATCCTATTACTACTTGTTTATTTTGCAACAGCTAAATATATTCCAAACCACAGCTCTAAATCCAAGCACCATCAAGTTTGGGAGAAGCTTGAAGCCTGTGCCCAAATCTGGTTATATATATTTTTCTTCAGCTGGTCTCTTTTTGTATAATGGGCTAAATGCTTCAAGAAGTTGGCATGTCTTTCAAATACATAGCCCATGCCAGGCATTTTGAACTGCAAAAGTATGAACCTCTTTGCCTGTCCAGATGTTACTCTTCAGTATCAGAAAATGTGCTTTTTTAGGAAGAGGTTTGTGAAAGTCAAATATAGGCTGGGCTTCAGCATGGAGATGGAGGGACTGGCTTTTCAAGTTGTACCCCCACATAGAGAGGGAGGGAATACCTGATTCATTCCATCCCTAAACTGCATAGCATAGAGAGGGCCACAGCCTCAGCTTTCTCCCTGGGATTTCCCTGGAACTTCCAACACCCTTATACCTAAGCAAGAAGCACTTTTGAATCAGAATTAAGTCCTGTTACATTAAAGGAGGGTGTAGGAAGGGATAAAACAGATTTGCTGAACAGAACCCACCTTCTGAAGGAAAAGTGAAACAAAAAACCCTTATGCTTTGCTACATCCACCCAGGCATCGGCTTCCAAGCACCAAGTGTCCCAAGTTCAGATTTTTAGACCATTGCATATGCTGGGGGTTTATGCCTCTCTGTGGATCTGTAGATAGGGCAGAGAAGTACTGCTTTATTGAGGTGGGTCATGCTATATGGCTTTTGCTTTTCAGGAGAGAAGTCTACAGGAAACTGAGCAGCCTTTACCCTACTCATGCCTGTACACAGTACCTGGATGCTTTCCAGCAGCTGGAGAAATACTGTGGCTACCAAGAGGATAACATACCTCAACTTCAGGACGTCTCCAGATTTTTAAAAGGCCAGTCATTATGAACCATGGTTTATTCTAGGTTTTCCTGGATACATATGTACACCACATACACACACAAACCATCTCGTAGGACCCAAGCTGGCGACCAGAGCTGATTAGCTGTAGAGTTCCCTCATGCAAGATGAGCTGTAGCACAGGACATTAATACCAGGCATATCTAGGGACCAAGCTGTAAGTAAGTTTGTGTTTGCTCTGTGAATGGCTGCAGTTGGTGTAGCACTAACCAGCTAATTCCAGTACTAACAGCAGTACAACCATAGCAGCACACTGCTCAGCATGACTTCCACACACAGGCTTTCTATGTGTTTGGCTGTATTTTATGCTTCTATAGCTATGCTGCTATTAAGACCCAAACACAAGTACAGGTACATACCTCTGAAGTCCACTTTTTTCTGATGCATGAGACAAGATGGCAACGTGTGCTAGAAGAGAGGATTTCCAGGAGGTCCTGCTAGTCTGTCAGCAGCTGCCTTGTAACAACACTGCTTCTTTCTGTCTCCATGGCCCCACTTGCCACACTAAACTCTTTGGTACCTACCACGTGGCTGACAGAGCAGAAAGGCTGTGGTGTTAGTCTGTAAATGCATGAAGCTGTGGCCTCGGAAGGACACATAAAATTGCTAGGCTGACCTACCTGCTGTTAGCTGGGGGTTGACTAGCAAAGGGCAGGAGAGGAAGGGAGCCTGCATTATTTTTGAGGCCACAGGCTGCATAGATTCCCAAGGCCAGGTGCTTTGTGTCAACCAGCTGATTTTCTACCATTATCAAGAATGACTAAAGAAAGGCAGCCTTTAAAGCTTCCTTGCTCCTTCTCAGTGACAAGAAGATGTGCTAGAGAGTGGAGGACAGCTGATCACTATGCTGAAATAAATAATAAAAAGTATGGCTTAGCTTTAAATAAATTCAATTTAAATACAATATTCAGGGAATCAAGTGACCTACTCCACATATCAGTACGTGATGTCAGTAAGCTTGAATGAGCTTTCTGTTGCTGAAGAGGTTTTCAAGACATTGCCATTTTTAGGGAAGATTAAGCTGTTCGATGACAAAGTTTTTATTGCACCTTTAGTGTAAGGGAATGGAAGGTTGGCATATGAAAAGCATCCCTCATGAGCATACCAGCACCATCACATCCAGCTGTAGGAAATTTCTGTGTATGCATTATGTATTTTCTCATATATTTTCCCTTCTATTCAACTATTCATCTCACTTCCCTCCTACAGTAACTGGGCTGATAAATATTTTTTCTCATGAAGTAGTTGAACTCATCTCATTTACACTATCTGACAGCAGGGAGCTCCAGAAATCATGTGATGCTGATTTGATTACCACAGATATGAATATTCTTTAAGCGAATCAGGTGATTTCAAAGTGGGAGAATTTGGGATAATGTAAGAATATCTTGTCATAATACTATTTGTATTGCTCATGTTGGTTGACAGGATTTGATTGCCTGGAGTTCAGGCCTACTCACTTCTTTTGTAGGCTCTGATTCTAAATTTTCTCTATGCCGTACAAATTGTCCTAAGTAAAAAAAAAATGCAGTAAAAATAGTCATTCTGAAAATTCTGCTAGTAACGGTTGGGAAGATGTTCACAGTGAGTTTCAACTCACCTACTATAAACACGGGGTGTCTAGTGTAAGCTGATTGTCCAAACTGTTCTGACTGGGAATGAGAATCAGGCACTTCAGAGGTGTTTTATTCCATCCTGGAATGGGTGTCTAAGGAAAATGAAAAGAATGGCTCTCGGGAGCACTGGTCCTACCCTCCTTAAACTGTAGATAAAACCTGAAGTAGTTTAGTCTACAGGCTTTGTAAAAGATTATGCATAGATGAAACAAAGTTTGTTCAAAAGAACTGTGTTTACAGCTAGACACAATTAAGAGTGAGTAAGCTATTTTAGTCCCATTATATGGGGCTTTGGACTGATATCTTACTTATCTCAATGATTCCCTCTAATAAGGTCATTTCACTATGCAGAATACTTTCTAGAACAGCATAAGATTGACATTATTGCAAGGTCCCTTTGTAATGAACTCAGTCGAAGTCAGAAGCATCTGCAAGGTCTGTAAAATCTGTGTTAAAGACAGCCTCATGCCAAGCAGCCACTGGGTGAGGGGTATGATTTATAAGGAGTTCTGATTTTTCCATTCACCATTTTTGGTGAATGGAGTCAAATCCAGTTGGCGGCCGGTCACGAGCGGTGTTCCCCAGGGCTCAGTATTGGGGCCGGTCTTGTTTAATATCTTTATCAATGATCTGGATGAGGGGATTGAGTGCACCCTCAGTAAGTTTGCAGACGACACCAAGTTGGGTGGGAGCGTTGACCTGCTCGAGGGTAGGAAGGCTCTGCAGAGGGACCTGGACAGGCTGGATCGATGGGCCCAGGCCAATTGTATGAGGTTCAACAAGGCCAAGTGCCGGGTCCTGCACTTCGGCCACAACAACCCCATGCAGCACTACAGGCTTGGGGAAGAGTGGCTGGAAAGCTGCCCAGCAGAGAAGGACCTGGGGGTGTTGGTCGACAGCCGGCTGACCATGAGCCGGCAGTGTGCCCAGGCAGCCAAGAAGGCCAATGGCATCCTGGCCTGTATCAGAAATAGTGTGGCCAGCAGGAGTAGGGAAGTGATCGTGCCCCTGTACTCGGCCCTGGTGAGGCCGCACCTCGAATACTGTGTTCAGTTTTGGGCCCCTCACTACAAGAAGGACGTTGAGGTGCTGGAGCGTGTCCAGAGAAGGGCAACGAGGCTGGTGAAGGGTCTGGAGAACAAGTCTTATGAGGAGCGGCTGAGGGAACTGGGGTTGTTTAGCCTGGAGAAAAGGAGGCTGAGGGGAGACCTCATCGCTCTCTACAACTACCTGACAGGAGGTTGTAGCGAGGTGGGTGTTGGTCTCTTCTCCCAAGTAACAAGTGACAGGACGAGAGGAAATGGCCTCAAGTTGCGCCAGGGGAGGTTTAGATTGGATGTAAGGAAAAATTTCTTTACTGAAAGAGTGATTAAACATTGGAACAGGCTGCCCAGGGAAGTGGTGGAGTCCCCATCCCTGGAAGTGTTTAAAAGACGTGTAGATGAGACGCTTAGGGACATGGTTTAGTGGACATGGTGGTGTTGGGTTGACGGTTGGACTCGATGATCTTAGAGGTCTTTTCCAACCTCAATGATTCTATGATTCTATGATTCTATGATTACTAATTTGGGTGGCTTTTACCACCAGCGTCAGCAAGGCCAGAATTTTTGCTCCTTACAACTCGTCAATCAACTGTGTGCTTAGGCTCTTTCCTGTGTTACAGGCGTGCAGTGCTCAACCAACCAAACCTTAACCAAACTGTAGGCTGTGATGTGTCTCCCAAAATTCCTTGGCATACAGTGGATGTATTTCAACTACAGTCTATGTGGAGATGCATAGTGCAGTTCCTCCTGTCACTGGTTAGCTCTGGGTGAGCCCTGAACTGTCCCACTCTCCCATTTAGGACATAAATCCCAGCATATATCTTTGCTAAATACTGCCTCTAAGGACTGGACCATTCTTCAACATATGTGATGATAAGACGTTATGTAGAAGGTTAGGATAGGATAGGATAGGATAGAATAGAACTATTTCAGTTGGAAGGGACCTACAACGATCATCTAGTCCAACTGTCCGACCAATTCAGGTCTGACCAAAAGTTAAAACATGTTGTTAAGGGCATTGTCCAAATGCCTCTTAAACTCTGACAGGCTTGGGGCATCAACCACCTCTCAAGGAAGCCTGTTCCAGTGTTTGACCACACTCTTGGTAAAGAAAAGCTTCCTAATGTCCAGTCTAAACCTCCCCTGGGGCAGCTTTGAATATAATAAACTATAGGGATGCAGAGAGAAAGAGGGATATCCTGGAGAGAAAGTGATCATGTTTTAACCAGCCCACACAGCCAGATAAACTTCCATCTTCTCTTTTAGTCAGCAGTATCTGTGAACTCAAGCAAGCAATTCCTTTTGACTTCAATACAAGTTGAACTCCAAGATCTGTCTAGTGTTACCTGGTCTGCCAGTGAGGCTGGTTTGAACAGAAATGAACTCTACATCATAAGTATTTCATAATTACTTAAAGGGAATTTAAATGGTTAACCATGTGACCATGTAACATGGCATTTTTCTAAAGGGTTAACTAGATAAACCCAGGCACGTCTTTCTTTCTAGGAAAGATGTTTGGATTTAGGCATTCATTGTCCTCCACAGCTGGAAGAAATTACAGCCAGTGAACTCAAGCAAGCTCACACTACAACACACAGGCCTGTATACATGAGCTTTTTAGGCCAAGAATTAAGCCTTACAGATCACTTTAGGTCAACTGCTCAAGACCTTCTCTTCAACTCATTTTGATTTGAGAGCTATTTGGGCAGCAGGTCCAATCAGCCACACCCCCAGTTATCTACTGATTGCTGGTTTTATTGTGCAGTAATGAAATAGAAGTTCAGATTTTGCAGATATTACCTTCAGCAGACAACTTTTTCCTATGGCTTTTCAAGGCAACTGGCCAAGTCTGTTTCATCAGCAGACTGTCTGATTCACTGGCCTATATTTAAAAGGACATCTCAGGGAACATAAGCTGTAATTTTCATTTTCCCTCCTGCTCCTTCAACATGGATGCTAAAGCAATATAAATTTCCCCAGACTTTTTCATAGTCCTTCCAAAACTGAGTTACTTCGGGCTTGGTGTTCGTCTGATATATTTTTCAGCTGGTGCAGTTTTCACTTCACTCAGACTCAGAATTTAGCCCAAAGATGACGAGATTCTGAGCTTTTCACATTCCTCTGGATTGGCTTAGTATGGCATCAGCAGCAAGAGAGTACCCTTCTGTGCCAGCTCCTGGCTAATGCCTAAGGAGACATAGCTGATGGTGTGTCTATTCCCCCACACACCCTGCTTTCTTAACTGGGGGGTGGGGAGAACAGTGCTTTACAACCATTTCCAATTTCCTGGTTAACTCTGATGCTTTTGCTGGTTTATTTGCTGTTGTTCAGCTTTTAGGCAGTTCTGTACCTATTACCTTTGAATTCAGCAGAGCAGTAGAAGATAACCATGGCAAATGCTAACCACCTAGTCCCTCACACTGTCAGGTAGAAGCTGTCCACTCTTTTTTTGTCCTGTATAGCTTCAGGTGCTTTGTCACTTCTAATTCTTCCAGTGAAGCCTTTTTTTTCCTTTTCTTCTCTTCCTGTCTCTTTTTTTTTTTTTTTCTTTTTAATGAGAAAAGTGCTAATAGCCAGACAGAGCAAGACAAGAAATGCTGGAAGAAACATTAAAAACCAAACCAAAACAAATCTTGTAAATGGCTTGGTTTCTGGGTGGGATTTTTTTTGTTTGTTTACATAAAATAAATTAGGTTCCAGGCTTCATGACACAATAGAGTATGGATAGAGAAGGGAGAATAAAACCATTTCTGATTTTTTAAAAAATGTAGTTTTATGCTTTAAAGAAGATGAAATGTCATTTATGGGAGCTGAGAATGCAACACAGATTTTGAATATAGGACTTCAAAAAGATTATCGTTGGCTCTCTTTTAAAGCAGTAATTTTCAATTTTCTTAGCTTTGCAGACCACCAACATGTTTCCCAGGGAAATGCAGATTATGTAGTCTGCTGACCATAGGACTGGTTATTTTGTTAGTTGTCTCTCATAGACCTTTCATAGTAACGCAGGGTGTCCTGCGGTAACACTGATAGCACAAGCTGAAGTCATAGCGCAAAAGTATTGCATTCTTCTGTCCTGTTCTATGGACACATGCAAAGCAAAACATCTACGATCACATCACTGGGAGGCTGTGTAGTTAGTTCTAGACAAACATAATGGTGAAAAAAAAACAGAGGGGAAAAATAGGTGAGAGCACTGATGGAAACTCTGATGTTAAATGGTTAAGGGCCAAATTCCAGCACCCTTATCTCTGACTAGGACCTGTTTGCTCTTTCTCCTGTGTGTTCCCATTCTAATGAAGTCCAGGCAGAAAGGTAAAATTGATAGCAAGTTTTGCCAGTGCTGAGCTACTTTATATATGTGGAGCATGCACTGACAAATGGAAATGAAGTTGAACAGTATACTCCAATTCTACCTCTGGGGTATGTTGAACTAGGCCCATTGAGGAACAGAAGAATTGCCCAGACTGGATCAGACCCACGGTCCACCTAATTCTGTCTTCAACAGTGCAAACTACCAGGGGTTTCAGTGCAGGGAATAAGAAACTCTGCAGAAGGAGGCTAAACAGTAACCTAGCAGCAGGGAAGAGTCAGGTGCTCTCAGGCAAGAGTAGGGATGGGGTGTGTCCCTTGTCAATCTCCTGTTTGTTTTTTACATATACTGTAGAGGAAATGAGAGTGAATCTAAGAATTAATAAACTAGCCGGGACTGAAAATGCAGGTTCTGTCTCCTGCTTGATCATAAGGATGATACGTGACCTTAGATACATCACTGACATGTGGGTCATAGTAGAAAAATGTGTGTAAATGTGCTAAAAATGTAAACTGGGGTAGGCAGTACTTCCGTAACTCACATCATTGCTGTGTGAATACGTGTGGGTTGGATGATTAAGTGATTTAATGTTGCAGTAATTGGACCCATAACAGTACAGGGACAAATCGATAATGATAAGTCAGGATGTTTCTACCATGCTTAGGTGGAGGGAACTACTGCAGCAGAGCACGAAGGCCCTCTGAAACTGCTTACCTGAAGTAAGTGTGCCATGTAGTTAACCCTAGAAACTCCTAAATTCAGTCTCAATTCCCTTTGCAGAAAGAACAGGTTTCCAGTTGAGACCAGCTGCAGGATTGCTGTCTGCTCGTGACTTCCTTGCCAGCCTGGCATTTCGTGTCTTCCAGAGCACACAGTATATAAGGCATTTCTCGTCTCCTATGCATTCCCCAGAGCCGTAAGTTTGATGCACAATCCTGTCCTTCTGAATGTGTTGGGGATGATTCCCTTGGGAATGGCTCTGGAGCTCTATCCAGTAGTCCACAGAATGAAACAATTTGAGAAACTGGTAGCTGGAGAGTTAGAAGGGGAAGTCATGCATGAGAGGGTGTGGGTCTCTGTCTCTCTTGCAAAGTTGTCTGGGGAAGCAAAAGAATGGAGAATATCTGGTTTAATCTTTTCATCCTGCCTTCAGTTACCATCTGCTGGGGTTTGATTCCCTGCTGTGAAACTCTCCCAGTAAGTGCTGGCCAGACAACAGCAATTACATTTCATGAGAAATTACAAGTTCACACAGACACTTTTGTTGCATGCTGGGACAAAACACGGGCCTTTCAAAGATGTTGTGACATAGGAGACTAATGCCCGTGCCATCCCAAGTGAGACAATAGCCAAGGTAGTGCAGGGCAGCTGGTTCCCCATGGCAGAAGGGAATGCTCTGTCATGCTCCCTGCAGAGCCAGGCCAGGTATGCAGGCAGCTACTGCGGAGCAGCCCTCACACTAGCTCCCTTTGGGGGTCTATCGGCTAAAGTCCTTCATGGGAAGTTCATGTAGGGTAGGAAAAGAAACCTTTATTAAACATGAAGGTCACTTGTTTTCCAGAGACTGCTGCCATGAGTTGTTGGGTCATGTTCCCATGCTAGCTGACAAGGAGTTTGCCCAGTTCTCACAGGTAAGAAGTTTGTTCTGCTGGCTGTTTAGCCAACTGCTGTGGATAGCAGGCCAGACGTGCCCAAAGGCATGTAGCTCACTGTGCTTGAAACGCTATTTTAAGACTTGATTGTGCCTGAGTCGCAACCTCCAGGGGTGGTGGGCTAGCATTTACTCCAAGGGAGTGGTAGCACTACTCCCTGTGGACATTGTGTAAAAGGAAGGGCAGGCAGTGCTTGTGGGACTTGTCTGTGGGAGGGCCGTGTCAGTCTGCAGAAGGATGCCAGTGGAGCCTCTGCAGTGCTGCGTGTTTGAGTTGTACTGACTACGCTGTTCCCCTGTCTTCCTGTCCTACACCACATGAACCTAACCAGCAACAGCCATCGAGCCCCCAGGCTGGTTCTGTCTCTGGACGTACATTTTTATCTCACATGATACTTTAATTGTGTCCATCACCATGTCATTCATTGGAGTTGTTTTTCCTTTTACAGCTCACCAGATTCTGACAGCATTGCTCACACTAGTGAGGAGGCTCCAAAAAGCAAACAGGGCTTCTTTGTACAATAAGGGGCTATTTAGTATGAGCAGTCAATGTCAGACCAAGAGAACTCAATGACCTCGTATAATTAAAGACTTCAGAACTATGAATGTGCCTCAAAACCATAGCAGAGGAAAGAAGACAACTCGTATTCTAGGCTTATCAATCAGCTGCCAGAGTGGAAACTGGCAATAAGAGCAGAGGGGTTACATGATGTAGGTCCCTGTCAGAATATCTTAAAAAGAAAGCCAATTCACCTCATATAATGTGGTTCCCAGTTGTATTGACTTGGATACATGCCAGTTTCCATTTTGGTCATAAATATCGGTTATTATCAGATTCACATGAGTAGTACTTAAAATATCCTAGTGGTCTATAATTTATTCTAGAAGAAAACTCTTCAGTTCAGTTCAATACCAGAACTGAAGACACATTAGAAATAGTGAGATTATAGCCATTTCAAAACTTTCAGCTTTCCTCTTTTCCCATCTATAACACAGACTATACAACATGGGATCACCTTAAATGAATTTTCGCATTTCACTGTTTTTTTTCACAAAGTATTTTCACATTTGAAATTCACCCCATGAAAATTCTTTTTTGTTCCATTCAACATGAGACAATGAATGGTGAAAATGCCCTAATTTTGTTTGTTTGCTGCATGATATGGCTCCCGGGATAACTAAGAAGAGACATCTACAGATTCCTATTGTGAGAATAACAATTAACAGGCAGCACAGATGAGAGTAAACAGAATCCTCCCTGCACGGATCTGACCCACTCATAAGGGCTGTCAGAAAGAGAGACAGAAAGGTAATGGCAAAGATAAAACCCACCTTGCTGTCCTTCCTTCTCATGCCTCCCTATAAATCTCTGCCAGGGATACTCCAGCATTAAGGCAAGAGATAGTTAACTTTACACAGAGAATGCTGAGGATTAAACACTCATCTAATGTGGCTCCCAGTGGTATGTAGCTGGGGGCCAGGCAGAAGTAGGCATCCTGGAAGCCGTGGAAGGTCATTTTGGGTGACAAAAACAATGAATAGTTCATGCTATTCATGCTAGAAATAATGCGGTCCTCCCCCTTCCCCTCTTTCTCTCCCTTGGGCTGAATAATCACACTAGTGTAACACTGCCTGCTTGCTTACTTGCTTTAGGATATTGGACTGGCTTCTCTTGGATCATCTGAAGCGGAGATTGAGAAACTGGCCACAGTAAGTACAGATGGCAGTTTAACATCGGAGGCAAAACCCAAACGATTCACTGCATATCCCTTACTGTGCAGGGAAGGCTCTTCTCCAGTGTCTCAGATTAGCTACAAAAATGGGACCATTAGCAGGATTGTCTCTTCTCCTCATCCACAGGTTAGGGAGGTGCTGGAGCAGGGGCTGGAGTCCCTCTGGGAGAGCCCAGAAGCATGTGATTCCACCTGAGGAAATGCTTATACTTTTTACTTCTATAAGATTATATTGCTGAAGCAGAGTTTCTACAATTTCAGCCACAGGAGGGTTGCAACTCGCTTTCCAGATTTGCCTAATAGACTGGATACCCAATGTGATTCCTGCATTTTCTCCTACACAAGGTGTAGGGAATCATCAGAATTTGATTCACCCTGTATTCATCAATCTCACAAAATAGGTGAGCACTTAAAAGCAATTTGAGAGCAGGTACTGTCATTCAGTTCTAAGTCACTACGCTGTATACATCTGCCAGAACAACTCATGCAGCACCTTGCTGCCATCTTAACTTGTTCTGAAAGTGGACTGGAGGCCAGATGATTTCTTTTCTGATAATGACAGCCATTTCCCAGTGTTGATGATTTTTTCAGGGGAGGAGAGGAGCCTTACCCTCACCCAGCTGGGTGAGGCTCATTCAGGAAAGGGGGTGGATGGGAGGAGACTGTCACTCCTGAAATTCCTCACCCAGCCCATAGCCCCACTCATGGTGAAGTGGAATGAGGCACTGTGTGAAGGAGATTATGGCTCACCTAAAATCTATCTGCACATATCCATCCTTGGGTCAGGACTAGGTAAGTAGCAGTATTTTTAGAGTTCGGAGAGCAAAAGGTGCCAGTGCTGAATTTTTTGTAGCATCATCCAGGTCCTGGGCTGGTGATGTGAGGGGACTATGTGGGAAGAGGCAGTGACACGTCCACATTTCCTCTGCAATTTCCCCTCTCTGGGTCTAGAGGCTAGTAAGATTAAGATCCATGCCTTTGCTAGCGTTAAAAGAATTATAGGTCCCAGAGAGCCATTTTGCATCATTACCCAGGTCTTGGTGACTGGGTGAAGGCCAGTGGCTTACATAGCATTCCTCTGCAAGCACCCTTCCCTGACCCTGGACTGGCTAGGACTAGATTAGAGATTGGGTTAAGGTTTGAAGAATGATGGGTCTCATATCTGAAATTGTCATAGTATCATCTATGGTTTGGGGAGGTAGAATAAGGTCACCTTTTTGAAAGGGCTACCCGCAGTTCAGGATCTGTGAGAACACAATTTTGTAAGCACCATTCAAGTATTCTGAACAGTAAACATATTTGGGATTAACAACTCGATCTTCAACTGTTTAAAAGTTAGACATCTAATCTAGGATTATTGTTTGGGTTCCTTCACTAGAAAGCGAAGATAAAGAAGAACCTGTAATGTATTCGCTATCCTGACATAGATGTCTAACATAAATTCTTTTTTTTCCCTGGAAGCCCCTGCCATCCTCTGTTCATTATAAAGAGAATGTAGGTAACTACCTTAGGTGATATGACAGCATTTAAGCTAACTAAAAGTTTATTTAAAGAATCTCAACTTTGCTTGCTGCTATGGTCTATAACATTTGTAAGACAAACTTTAAAATGCCATTGTTTCATTCAGTCCCTGGACTGCTCTAAGCAGGTAGATCCATGCACAAGAGATGGGAAATTGCCAGTGTCCATGTTGTCCACAGAGTGCCATTACTACTGTGTCTTGTACCCTGTTAAAACAGTGAGAGCCGAAAGAACCTCACTAACTAAAAGCCAAATACAGGATATCTAAGGAAACACGAAAAAGAATTCCTCCTCCTCCCATGTCTCATTCTCCAGTCAAAAAGACCTTCTGCAAAATGAGGAGATACTCGAAAGACTTTTCACTGTGAAATAATAAGAATCAAGATTATTAACACAATAAGAATGCAGAATTATTAGCTGAACTGTAGAGAAAGCAGCTCAGGATTCTGCAGAAAGAAAGATCCTGGCATGCTGTTTCTTTAGTGGTAAATTTGCAGGCTAAAACCAAGTCATCAAAATTATAAGACATGTGAAAGAGAGTGGGAGAAAGAAAGAGAAAGAAAGAATGAGGCAGAACAGACAGAATAACATAGGGTTTCACATTATTTTACAAACTGCCTGCAGTTCTTTAAGAAGGGTGCTGAGAGTGCAATACTTATGGCTAAACTGAAGCCAAGGTCCAGCCCTGTGTATGAGGCAGCAAAGAGCTATGTGTCCCTAAAGGAACCTTGAAGACTTGTGACACAAAGCCATATTCTTGAAATGCCTCGTGTTTTCCATGTTTTTCTTTTGCACAACACCTATCCAGCTGCTCAGGGGTCAGACTGTGTCCAGAATTGGTCCTCCACTGTCCTTTTCCTTAGATGCTATAATAAGGGAAGGGCTAACAGGTTGGCAGAGCCAAGAGTTGCTTTTATCCCACTATTGTCCAGCAGGTAAAGGAAGTATGGTCCTAAGCATGCTTTATTGCAAGAAAAGCCCAGATGTTTCTTTATTTTCTACTGGAGCATGATAAAGATGTAATTGGCATAATCGTAAAGGGTACATTGCTGCTAAGGGATAAGTCATTCTTCAATTCTTCTGAATGCTATCACACAGACAAAGGAGGAGGGAAACTGTCCTTTCAAGTACCTTTCCTAGGGTCTTGAACCCTCTGTGGGGGTCTACCTGTCCTTCTGGGGACCATGGGTTGAAATCTGTCAGCTTCCACTGACTACAATGAAGCTCAGGGCTAAGGGGTTGCAGGGTAATTTGTAACATCTTCCAAAGAAAGAAGGGGGTAGGACTTTATGACTTTATTTACCCATGTAATTATCATTAGCAATTTTTTTTTTCTATTTTTTGGGGAGTGAGAATGGGAAGGATGGCAAATTTTGAAAAAATATATGTTATAATTTGTGTTATATATGTTGAGACAAAAAAAATTTCTTAAAATATACAACTATAAAATTTGAAGATACAAAGACATTAAGGAATAAGGATAAAAGGAAATTAAGGAAAAATGAAAAGCTTAAAAATGAACTGCCTGTTGAGACTGTTTTTCACAAGCTGTTCTTATTACCAGCTTTATTGGTTCACTGTGGAGTTTGGTCTCTGCAAGCAAAATGGATCGATCAAAGCTTACGGGGCAGGTCTGCTTTCGTCTTATGGGGAGCTTATGGTATGTGTCAAATGTATGGTATGTGTCAAATGTATGGTATTGAAAGATTTCTATAATCCAGCTTTCTGAACTCTCTGGTAAAAGCAAAATATTGGTTCCTCACATAAAACAATATGATTTAAGATACTGTTTTTTCTTTTGCAAAGAAATTTATTCTCCCTTCCCAGAAGCTACTGTGTAGGGGAAAAACTACTGTAGGATTGTACCTGTCTTCCACCTAAAGAGATGAAATGCAACGAAATCAACCATCCTATAAAGTATTAGCTTCTTACTGCTCCTGGCCACTAGTAATACGGTTGATGAACAGAAAACTCATGTACCTTTCTGAATTACTCACTAGAGGGCAATATTATGCCTATTACGAACTGCTGCTTCGTCCATGCCATTGACATTCATGTGCATATGAATCAGAAAGGCACTGTACTGACTGGACCAAATAAAGTGCGAAGAAACTGTAAACAGACTGACAAAAAGAAAATGCTTTAGTATTTTACATTCCTAAATACATTTCAAAACTACTCCCAGCTCGAGTTTTATGTAGATGAAAATCTGTGTACACAGGTTTGATACTGACCTGCCTGGACAGATTAACTGTGGAAAGAGGGACTGTACACCTTTACAGAAAGCTTATGGGTTTCCCCTCCTTTGGACAAACAGTTGATAGGGGAGATATTAATTTTTCATCATTTTCACAGAGCACTGAAGCAGATAATCAGTTTCTAAGTGTAAAAGCCCTAAACTGGTATCAGTAGGTCTCAATTGCTTCAGGCCATGCAGATACTGCATGATGTTTTGGAATGAGTAAGAGGCAGAGGAAGATAAAAAGCACTCTTTTCAAGCATTTTTATAAACCAGAAATCAATTTCTTCATGGGAGATATATTTTAAGCTTAACACATAGACACAACAGCCTAACAGCCAGCTACATGATACATTCACATAGAACGTGGCTGGATTAGCACAGCTTGGACTCCCATAACTGGAGATAGTTGGATTGTTATGACAATAAACATATTACAAAATTCTCCTAATGGTATACAGGTCAGCCCACTTCCCAGTCAATTGACAGAAGGAAGAAACAACATGTTAACATATCTCAAGCCATTTATAATAGGAGTCCCAACAGAGCTAACATATAGAAAGGGGAACCCTCCCAGACATCAACCTTCATTTTACCACCTGCTGAGTTCAGCATTGGTTTTCTCCCAACACTTGCAATTTGGAGGCTTTTGTGAGCAAACTGTGGTATATGATTTGCAGAGCTTTCTCTCTTGATAAGCTGAGAGATCTGCATGCTCATTAGCCCTCTAGAGAAATAAACATGCCTTCCTTTCTACATAACAACCTGATCTTGTGCCTCACTGCTCATGAACATGAGCCGAAGTGTGCTAGCACTATCGCAGCACTCATCTGTAGAACAGTGAAACGTATTGTTTTGAAACAGCAGATCAATGAGCTCCCCTACAAATTAGGCTCCAGTGCAATGCTTTTGGGTTACATGTCTATTTATGTCTATCTGTTCTAGGATAAGGCTGAAGTTACTGTTTTTCTGGGAATCCTTCAGTACTTGCTATATTCACAGCCAACACACAGGAAACCTAGGCTTGCTTTTATTTACCTGGTAAAACCAAAAAGGTCCAATGTCAAAGCACAGTTCAAGGCAACAGTTATTCTACTCTGCCTGCCTGAATACTTTATAGTTTTAAATCTAATGCATTTACATGTTAAACAGGGTACTAAAGGGCAGGGGTAATCTTGTCTCCGATACCTACGTAGCTTTCATAGTAATATGCACCACAGAATCTATCGCATATGTTACCTCAATGAGCTCCCCTACAAATTAGGCTCCAGTGCAATGCTTTTGGGTTACATGTCTATTTATGTCTATCTGTTCTAGGATAAGGCTGAAGTTACTGTTTTTCTGGGAATCCTTCAGTACTTGCTATATTCACAGCCAACACACAGGAAACCTAGGCTTGCTTTTATTTACCTGGTAAAACCAAAAAGGTCCAATGTCAAAGCACAGTTCAAGGCAACAGTTATTCTACTCTGCCTGCCTGAATACTTTATAGTTTTAAATCTAATGCATTTACATGTTAAACAGGGTACTAAAGGGCAGGGGTAATCTTGTCTCCGATACCTACGTAGCTTTCATAGTAATATGCACCACAGAATCTATCGCATGATGTTACCTCCTTTTTCTGTTTAATTTGATGTTACCTCCTTTTTCTGTTTAATTTGATGTTACCTCCTTTTTCTGTTTAATTTTGACACAGATGAAGGTAAAAGTCACATCAGAAATGCTCACTTTTGGTGGCTGGAGTTGAGTGAACCAGACTGGTGCTCTCTTTCCTCTCTTTCTACCCTTTTCTTCACCAGACACCAACAAGCTCTTCTGCTTTTGATTAAAGTAGTAGGCAAGAACTGCTTGTTCACAAAACTGTGCTATATAACAAAAAAATATAACTGCATCTCAGATTCCCTACCACTAAGGTTGACAATGGAAGCAGTAACTTTCCTTGAGTTGGTAAATGGTAGATTCTTGTAATTACTTTTATCATCAGTAGTTGTGGGGTAATGTTGCTGGATAAACTTTTAATACAGCTGGGTCCACCTAGGTCTTCATCCATCATTTTACTGAAATTACATGCAGATGTGAAAGCATTTATATTCAATAGGTAATGAAGAAAGATTACCCTCCTTCCGAAAGTGTGTCCATCTTGCATGTAACACTTAAGACAGTCTGAAGATGGGGAAGTAGTTCACCAGCCATGCTGCTATGTGCCCTGTACAATCCCTACGTGAGCTCTGCAAGTTCATCACAGTGCAGCTTTTGGGACAGCAGCTTAGTGGGTTCTGTGCACTTCACCTTGAGCATCTGAAACTTCTTGTACACAAATTAATTATATCCATGGCCTTAAGTGCTGAAGTTTCCTTTTATGGCTGACGGATTAATCTCTCAGATTTTTATTTGGAACAAAACTGAAACACAGAAACGTTTCCATTTAATCATTCCAGTCTGCATAAGCATCTGAGTCTAACTTCAGTATAGACAGTGGCAGTGTGAGTAAAGTGCTGAGGTCCTATGCCTAAGCACCTGCTAGCAACTTGAAAATGTATACCAACTGTTTCTTTTACAGCTGAAGAGAGGAAATATGTGTAGTGCAATATCTATTTCATAGAAGGGATTTTTCTAGAAATACTGCAGTGGCTAGGCAGTTTCGTTAGAGAAGATGAAGATTGGAAGATAGTGAGGGTCATGACAGCCTTCAGTTTCTTGCAAAACTCATTTTGCAGTCTTAGACTGGCTCTTGAGAAAGCTCTAGATAAGTTTTGCTACTGCTTGGGAGAAAGCCATTGTCTATCCCGATAATTATCTGCCAGTCTTCTCAGTATGGGCCCAGACGTGGGCGTGTGCATGGAGGCCCCAAACTCAATTCCATATCATTTAACTGATCAGCATATTTGGCACAGGCAGACTCACTGCAGCTCATGTGATGGAGGAGGCATGCTGCAGCAACCTGCGCAAAGGAGGGGTTTCCTCATCACTGAAGGCTTCTTAATCAGGAATAGCAGGATGATTTGGTCACTGAGGAAGCAATAAAGGCATGAGTTACTAAGGCTAGGTGGTTGGCTACAAGGAGATAACATCTAACCAGCTGGAGAGGGTGAGCAATAGTACATCCAGCTAATGTTATATGAGAACTTAGCATCAACAAGGAGCCTGGGAACATCCCTGAACTGCAGCCTGGACTGACTGTCTGTGGGTGTGTGACTGTAACCCAGGGAACCACATCCTGACTATGAAATCTTCAAAATGTTTTCCTCTTCTCCACAGCACCCACTCTGACCAGTTTGAACTCAGCTTCAGGTAGTTGTTTTCTGTGGGTGAGCTGATCCTGCCCAAACTCAGGGCATAACTTGGGAGAAAGGCAGAGGATGAGAGGTAGAGCTAGACGCCCTCTGCATGAGATGTGCACTTGAATCCATGTTACCTAACAAATCATTTAGTGACAGCAGCTAGGTATCGGAAGGGACAGGATAACCATACCCAAGTCTAAACTGAACAGTTGTAATGGGTCTGACTGCTGGCCAACCTTGCCTCCTCTGAACTGTAAGAATTCCTCCCCAACAGCTCTCGGTATTGCACTGTTTATTTCACTATATTGTCAGCTGTTCTACATTATCCAAAATGCTTCTCCTGTTAACACTCAGCTGGACTGTGTCCTACATACTGTAAAATCTTATGGCTCATACCACACTTCTGGCAGCACTCAGTGCTACATATGCTTTTCTTGCAGCACAACAAGTACTTAACTCGTAGAGGCCTTTAAGGCCATCCGGTTTCAAGCTGAACTTCCACTGAAATCAATGGGATTTCAGTTCGGCTTCAACACTGACAGCATAGCGGGACCCCTGTCAGGTTTTGAGTTTCTGAAATCTTTTCCCGTTGGTCCCCAGAGCTTCTAAGATTATAAGAGCAGCCTCATGTTTATGTATACCATCCATCTTAGGTTGTATGAGTGCTCTCCAAGGTTTATTCTTCAATTACACACTGCAAATGAAGAACAGGAAAAACACCATCTTTTAGCATTTTATATTCTTGTACTTTTTTTTTTTTTCCTCCTTCAAAAAAGCCCTGTATTAATTTCTGCACCAGTTCTGCAGCAAATTGGCCTACTGGTTAAGGCAAGCCTCCAGTGATGGAGAGTTCAGGCTCAGTTCAGTGAAATATCTAAAAATGTGCTTAAGGGAACTGTCTGAATTTTTCTAGTCAGCAGATTGAGCTGAAAGTCTTGTGCAGTGTCACCCACTCTTACCAGTTATTTACAAGTACCATGGGAGTTGGCATTTGGATCATAAAATAGTGAAGGGAGCCTCTGAAGACTGGGGAAGAAGAGAGAAAGACAAACAGGCAGATCTCAAAGAAGGGGTGGGTACTAAAAGACGGTCCCTCAGTGGATGGGCCCCCCTGTCCAGGCTGAAGGTAGAAAGAAAGGTCTCAACGTTGACTGGGATGAGTTGCCTTTTTCCTTTTTGTTTTTACTCAGGACGCTTCACCAAGGAAACTCGGCACTCACCGACGTGGCCAATTGGAGGCCAAACCAGCTTTTAGGCACATCTACGGTGCAGTTCAAATGTCACTGGAGCTGAGCTAGCTTTAAACTGTTTCACTTGGGTGTCAGGGGCAGACAAACTGTGCAGGAACTCACTTTAAGCCTGAGCTGTGCTGCCTTCCCAGGAGCCTGTGCAGGTACTAAACAACCAACACCAATACCTACGCAATCACACTGTCACCAGCTCTGCTGTTGGCTGGTTTAAAGGTATCCCCAGTATGTGTAAACAAATGATAGATGTGCCTATGGACTGCAGTGTGGACATAAGTGGCTTTCATAATCCTCCTGTCTGCCTGAGGGGACAATGTAGAAGAACCTGAGAAGAACATACAGAAGAACCTCTGCAGGCTTAAAACACAAACACGCACACACAGAGTATAGTGCATATTTATATCTTGGGTTTCAGGGAAGCTTTTAGGCTGCTTAACTGGCATGGGAGCTGTGCAGAAAATACCAGGAGCATTCTGTCTGTTCTTCAGTGCAGCAGGAAATGTGAGATTTTTGACATGGGCTGGGGACTTTGAAGTAGTGTTGCACAGGACCGTGAATCTTCTATGATACAAGTTGAAAAAAGCAGCATGATATTATTTTTTCTTCTAGATATTCAGGTTTTTTGGGGTGGCATAAACTTTCCCCTTCCTGTCTGAGAACGTGGTTATGGTACCCAATCGTACATCACTGTAATACAGGAAATAGATCTTTCTTTTTTTTTTTTTCTTATTTTTAAAAATTATTTATGGTTTATTAACTGCTAATTATGAAAAGCAGCTTTCACCTGTGAAAGAACAGAACTTGATATTACCTTTAACTATTCCACAAAGAGCATTTCACAGCCCAGTAGGCATTAATTCTTGCTATGTTCATTCACCTGCTCTAACCTGTGTTGTTCCCATTACAAAGTATGCTTTATCAAACGAGCCAGAGTACAAGCCTTTTGATCCAGAAATGGCTGCAGTTCACCCCTATCAGGATCAAGCTTTCCAGCCTGTCTATTTCATAGTAGAAAATTTGGAAGATGCCAAGGCCAAGCTTCAGTAAGTAAAGTGTTTGTGGGTATTTTCATTGAGGGGGGCACACCGGCTTGAATCCTAATCTCAAATACATCTACCACTACTGCAATAACCATGTCAGGCTATCTCACTGCACACTTCATCTGCACAGTGGCTTTTTTACAACAAATTTAAACATGAGACTGTTTATCTCAGAAAAGCTTCATAGAAAATCATAACTATATATTGTTATGCCCTGTCCCATGCTTCATCTTAGCAATGCCTCATTTTAGCAACTTCTGAAGTAAATGCTGTAACTGAATAATGAGAGTAGAGCGCAATCCCACAGTTGGGGCGCCTATGTGCTAGTCCGTACAAATAGGAGGTCGTGAAGAACTGATTTACCCAAGGTCAAACGGAAATTTTATAACAGACTCAGGAATTAACATGGATCAGCAGGGGGCTTAAAAACAAGATTGCCTTTCTCTTCTGATTATATCTGTACAAGAATGCAGAATCAGCATTCACAGGCAATCTAATTTCTACAAAGTAGCTGACTGCAACCTAAGTAACATTATTTCAAATTAGCTTGAGGTGTTTCTAAATGCATTTCTTTGACTGTGTTATGTAATGCAGTAAGGATTTTTAAACAATTTTTTTTTTTAAAGTAAGCAGGGTTTAAATTCTGGCCTTCATCTCCAACAGTTAGAACAACATGACCAATTCTGGCTGGAGGCAGGAGGCTGGCTGTGGAGCTACTGGGGAACTTGTAGGAGCTGAAATGAGGAATTTATTAGAGGAAGAGAACCTGGGCCAGACTTTTTCCCTACTCCTGCCACCTCTTCCCCAGAAGCACTGTCTGCTGGGGTTATAGCAATGGCAAATTAGGCCCCTCATTTTAAATTTGAAGGTTCACATTAAATTATTAATGCATGTAAAAACGTGGCTGAGAACTCACTGGTGGAAGAGAGAGGACTTTCAAGAGCATTTGACTCAGGCAAACCTGAAAAGAACTTACAAGGACAAGGAATACACCGTTCTCAGACTTGAAGCTTTTTCATACATTTTTTCAAGATAGTTGCACAGCCAAAGCTGCTCAAAATAACCAAAGGCACAGGAATCTGTCAGAACGGAAAACATAAGGCAACATCAGTACAGGGGGTTCCTACCAGCATGTACTTAATGGAAACATTGTCGAAAATGGCAAGCAATCATGTTTTTTCTTTTAATAGAGACAGCAAAATAGCCCAGGATGCCTAGTATCGACAGGGTTTTAGAATTTTACTCAGAAAGAGCTACTCCAGGTTATTTCTTGGAAGTGAAGGCGGCAGACATGCTGTGTTCCTGCATTCCTCAGCTTGTGGTTGTAATAACTCTGAATTGTGTTAATGTAGAGCTGTAAGAGCACAGACGGGTCTGAGCCAGCCATGCTGAAAAGCAGGCACTGCAGATCTTTTGGGCTGCAAGTAGTTCAGCCGTGGGGAGGATGTACTGCACCAGACAACGTTAACGAGTAACAGTGAGGAGGTGTCACAGCAGCCTCTGCTCCATAGCCCACATGCTGAGGAATAGTAGTCCATGCCTACATACTGAGAAATGCAGTATGTAGGTTTTACACTTAGAGAAATGGCTTCTGAAATAGCAGCTCTGTCTTCTTCCCCCACAGAAACTACGCGATGAAGATCAAGAAGCCTTTTTCTCTGCACTATGACCCATTCACCAGCAACATAGAGGTTATGAACACACCTCAGAAAGTCAAGAGGGCACTCCATCAAATGAAAGAGGAACTGAAAAACCTCTGCTTGGCCCTTGAAAACCTCTCTTAAAACTACAGCAGTACATCTCACCTGGCACTGAGATACTTGTAGACGATTCCAGCACTTGAAGATTTAGTGATGAAGTTGTAGTTGCATGCAAAATCTTTAACCCACAAAACAGCTCTGTCAAGCTAATCTTTTCAGTGTAATTTAGGCTGCTGACTTAGTAACATTAAGGAGTTCCTATTGACTATGTTTCAATGACAAACAAGACCAAATTACTCCAATTTTTGGTAGGTGATATGAGCTACAGCTGTTTGGAGTGTATTTATCTGTTACTATCGGACTCTTACGGGTTTTTTATTCACCTGCCACCTTTTCAGGTTATCTGTCACAAAATAGCCCAGTAACTCTTCAGCCACACAGTCTTTCACTTGCTGCTTAAATGACATGATCACAATCTTTTAGGTTGGCTAGCTGCCTACAGTTAGCAGTCCTTGCAGCTAGCTCATTTCTGCTAGCAATTACTACCAGCTATTGTGCTCACAAACTATGAATGGTTCCCTTACAATGTGCAATGCAAGAGTTTGTAAGAGGAACCCTTTACTTCTGCTCACTATTTATTTTTTAGACACTCATCTCATTCAGTAGCCTCCAAATATGGCAAAATAATTTCCTGTCATATTTGAGATCACAGAATATTTGTCCCTTGGCTAAAAAAAGGCAGAAAACAATAGGCCCATGATACTCTGGCTCTGTCACATACAAAGATGCTTAATTTGAAAGGGAAATTTGGATTCTGGGATAGAAATTTGGGTGTAAGGAAGGATTTTCAAAGAAGCCTTTAAGAAATAGAATCCCATTGTTTCTTCATGGGATTCGGATACTCCTGGAGACTTTTAAAAATCTTTGTTTCTTATTGATGTCACAATGATTGTAGTAATAACCAAAAGGCCAAATCTATGGAACATCTAGTGGAAAACCTAAGATCAACTACTAGCAGCCATATAGCCTTGCTATGGAAACAATATCAGATATGTGCTCCAACTCATCTTGCCTCCCTGTCCAGTTGCTCTCTGAGATGTGTCTGAAATTTATCTACAGTCTGCAGGTCGCATTTCCCAGAATCAATCCCATAATTGCCTTTTCCAGACTTTCATGCTCTTCGTGTCCCCTTCCTTCCTCTACCATCCACAAGTACAGACTAGTTCAGGAAAGGAAGACGAGGGTCATGCCTAGAAGGATTCCCTCTCCTCTTAGCAGCAGTGCAAACAGATGGGGTCGATGCAGGTTACAGGTATGGCATAGGCAGGGGCAGTGTGGATCTCATGGCTCAAGCTGGGTGACAGTGATCCACAAATGTCAAGGCAGATTTATCCTGCACAGCTTAGAAGCTCTACTTATTTTTTCAAAAGTATATTTAGCACGTGGCAGACAGCAAGCTTGTCCACTGCTATCCAGTAACTGTCAGTGTACATGGTCTGAACTCTGAGGTAAATGTGAGGTGGTTTGGCTCTTGATGGAAAAGGAGTCATCATCTCTGCCTTAACTGGTCACTGTGGGATACGAGCATGCACACAGAAAGTCACAACAGAGCAATTCACATGCTGTTACTTCATACAGAGCTTATCTCACTGTAATTTGTCCATGTGCCAGGCTCTAAAGAAACTGTCTTATTGAAAGTTAATGGGATTTTGTCTCTTAAATCTTCATGTCTATAAGCACTTCAGAAAATTTTCCCATGGGCAGTAATGGAGTATTCAAGATCTGGGGAGCTGCTGCAACTGCTCCATTTTATTAAAATGTGGTGATGCCTGAAAAATTTGGAAGTATCTTGGCAAAAATGGCTCTGAGACTCCTTCCTCTCAACAGCAGGAACATCCCAAGTTCTTTCTTTTTTTTCATTTAAGTCCAGGATTCTTCTATTCTACTCCAGGAGAACACTTGCATATCATAAACCCTGTTTTGCTAGAGATTCAGACCGGGACAGAGCTGAAGTGAGTTCCTTTGCTTCCAGTATATTTCTGCTGCGATGGAGGATGATCTTTCAGCAAACTTTTATGGATTTAATTCTACTTATCCTGCTCATACACACACACACAAATACCATTTCTCTTCAGAGCAATTTGCTTTGTTACATATTGTAATAATTTATCTGTCTACTTCCTGCCAATTGGTGCATAGGCAAAAAATGCTTGATAGCTCACAACAGATTGTTTTCAAAAGTATTATTTTCATCAATCAGTTGTTTTACAGTGAAAATTGAACCATGTGCTCCAGTTTTGTGTGTTTTCTTTTTCTTTCTTTTTAAGTGGAAGATAATGCCAGAGCGGAAGAGCTATCAAAATATTTTCTATAGATGGACTCTGTAGGCCATAGGGTCTTTTTCATGTATTCCCTCTGAAACGGTTGAATGTGGAGTTTAAACTTGAGTTTGGCTATTGCTCAGAACAGACCTATATTTGGAAGAAATGAGAGACCTGATGGATTTGTTTTGCCCAAGGCCTCACACTTTCCTTGGAGGGACTCCAGGCCCGCCCACACACCCTTGTCTTTTCCAGTTCCTGTAGCAAGGAGAGAAAAAGAAACCATTTGGAGCCAGATTCTCCCACCCTTACACACGTTGAGTAGTACCTGATCTCTCGAGCAATCCCAGCGAGAGTACTGAGCCTATTTAAGGTGCTGTACATAGACAATAAGAGCAGGATTATCAAAACCTCTGCGGGTGTAAGTGCTTTTTTATTGTCTTAATGACAGACAGCCAGCATACACGGCTAGGGTAGGCTCCAGTGAAGCTTAGCAAAGCTTCAAAAGTAATGAATTTGGCTACTTGAACTTTTAAGAAGCATAAACATTTTTCCAAAGGAGGCAAATCTCTCCCTCCTTACTCAGGCGAAACCTACCCCAGAATAGCCATGTTCGACACTCCCCTCTAAGGAGGTCCAAATTCTTCCCTTCTGATTCAGTGTAGTGACAAAGCAAAAGCCTTCAGGGTTACATCCTTACAAGGTACACTGGTCATGCTGCTCTTCCAATATTCATTCTTTCATTTCCAGAAGCCAAGAAGTACCTCATACTCCTGTCAGTCTAAGGCAGGGGTGATGGGGAAGGCAGTGATGGGGCCTCCTGATGAAAATAACGGCACAGAGGAAAAAGCACCAACCAGTAAAAATATGTCTTTTTGTCAGTTTGCATTTCAGCAGTTTCACATTAATCTTGCACAAGAAGGCTCCAAAGCCAAGTAAAACACATCTTGTGACTTGAAACTGAACTGATGAACTCCCCATGGGTCCTTTGCTTATCCCGATAAACTTATTTTTCCTAGATGGAGTGCATTTAGAACAAAATAGTATATGTTATTAAATCTGTATTGTGTTGTTCTGTTATACATGGGAGAGTTAGTAAATTCAGTTCGTGGGTTTGGGTTTGTTTTGTTTTTTGGCTAACCAAGTCTGTCCCCTACCAATTTTGGTCCACCTTCAAGCCTCCAGCTGCTTCACTGCTTCCCTGCAGATTTACTAGGGATGCCAAGGGTACCACTGTGTAAGGAGAATAGAGAGTTATGCAATTTGGGGAATTTGGCAGGACAGGAAGAGGAAATTTAGGCAGGCCTCCCACCCACTCCCATGAGAAATAGTATTGTATTACAAGGCAGAGCTGTCATTCTCAGAAAGGCCTTCTCAATCACTTCCCTCTCATTCCCTTAACATTTCAACCTTTATACTACCTGGTGAATGTAAACATTACTTAACCAATTAAAGAAATACCAGAGGAAAGGAAAAAGAAAAAAGGAAAAAAAAAAGACCTTCCAAGAAAGGAGACTTCATTACACTCAGTCCTCCTTCTCTCTCCTGATCCATGAAGGAAGAAGCAAACAAAAAACCCCCAAACTTCCATGGAAATGATAGTGTATTCCTGAAGAAACCTAAAACATTAAATTGTTCCATGTACAACTACACACATGAAGATCACCTTACACCCACCACTGAAATGCCATAACATACCCAGTAAATCATGACCATCAATTAACCACACACAGAAATGTTACATGATTGCTTGAGGCAGGAAATGAAGCTACCAGGAAAAACCCTCCGGTAGCTTTGCCTTATGCACATACTGCAAAAACAGAAGGTTCTCTAGAGCCTGCTTCTGTAGATATCTTACAGCATGGAGAAATTCCAGCTGGCAAAGAAACAGAGGGGTATATACATACATCCCTAGTAATCTCACCCACCACTAATCAGGAGTTTATACGTGGGCTTTGAGATTTAGTTAGAGGACATTACTTTGCAGCATTCTTCAGCTGGCGCATGATCAGAGGTTGGCAGAAAGGGTTACTGGCTGTATCGTATTAAATATACATTAACTTTGGGTAATGCTGGTGGCTGAGGCCCAAAGTGAAAGCAAATCTCTGGCACTCTCTCCCACCACAAGAATTCCTCAGGGGAAAGAAAGTCAGACTAGAAAAGGAGTCTGGCTGACAACTGGCAGAGCAAAGGGACAAGGAATGGAAAGGACCGGTAGATAGGCCTAAAACATATTTGTTTTGCATATGCTGTTTCATTATATTTGAGAAACATTTCTGTTTGAAAGGGAGCTTTTTAGCATGAAGGAGGAAAGTTTGTACCTGTAAGAGTGTAGAGGACTCGCGGTCAGTTAAGACTTTTTAACTGTGCCTGAGGAGTGTTAGCCTTAGATAAAGGCATTTACTTTCAGCATGGGGTACAAAGGTTAGAAAGTAGAAAGGGGGTCTTTGGGAAAGAGATTTTACATGGTGTGGGAAAGCTGAAGCTGACCAGGCCAAGGCCTGGTCTTGCTGCCCTGCAAGACACAAAAGTCCTATATTTTGAGCGAAGGCTACCTTAGGAGGGGAAAGCGAACAGCTGGCCAAGCTCTGCCCCTCCAGCAGAAAACTGTAAAATTGTTATTGCTATAGCTGCATGCTAGGTGCTGTCTTCTACCCTGCTCAACTAGTTTGTCAAGAGTTTTCTTTTTTCCATTTATTTAAAATGTTATTTATTGATCCTTTTGACTTGTGTTTGCAAATGGGGAAAATTAGGTCACTGAAC